CCCAATTTTGTTTTAAATTGTGGATGAAATGTTATTACAATATTGCACCTGAGGAAGACGTATTGTAACGTCGAAACGCGTTGTGCTATTTGCTGGATTTCCAGAAATTTATATGTAAGCTTTTACTATTGATTTTAATAAATTGTACTGCTGCTATTCTTCTAATTGATGTCTATGCACTTTATATTGAGGATCAAGCTGCAGCTTTCGTGATTCCATTGGAGAAAATCCTGTTTAAGCAATTATACCTGAGCCAGTTTGTAACAGGCTCTATTATATGTGAGTTGGACCATATAGATTGCTTTATTCAACCTATTCATAACCACAGTGTTATGCTATGATCTTTCTATTTTTTATAGATAAGACATACCCTTTCTGATAACGATTTCATTGGGGTACTTATTTATTAATTATTTATTCACTTAAGGTGGAAGTTTTCACTTATATGTGGTTTTTGTGAATATATTTTTTATGCGCTGCACACTATTCTGTATAGCTGTATTTAATATATCACACCACAGTCTCAAATGTGTTAATCTTCTGCAAAATAAAGTCTTACCATCAAGTGTGCTCCGTTCATTCCATATATTATAAACCTCCTCAGCAGGAAGAATATGTTCCTGAAGTAGTATATAAAGACTAGAGGCATTTGTTTTGAACTTCCTGGGTTTTTCAGGCCGGTTGTGTAGTCAGAGTAGATTATGGGTATCTACAGAGTTTCTCGAGGTTCATTGTTTGGCCAAAGTAGACAATGCATTTTTGCAGAGTTTCTGGAGGTTGGATGTTTGGTCAGAGTAGATTATCTGTATCTGCAGAGTGTCTGGATGTTTGGCTAAAGTAGACTGTGTATCTGCAGAGTTTATCTTGGTCTAATTTGGGCATAGCAGACCATGTGTATCCGTAGAGTTTCTGGAGGTTGGATATTTGGAAAGAGTAGATCATGGCATCTACAGAGACTTTCAAAGTTGGATGTTTGGCCAAAGTTGACCATGGGTATATGCAGAGATACCGAAGGTAAGGTGTTTGGCCAGAGTAGATCATGGGTATCTGCAGAGATTCTGGAGGTTGATGTTTGTCCAGAGTAGACCATGTGTATCTACAGAGGTTCTGGAGGTTTGTGTTTGTCCAGAGCAGATCATGTGTATCTGCAGAGTTTCTGAAGGTCTGATATTTGGCCAGAGTAGCGTAAATCATGATTTTAATGTCATGAGAAAGCCAGATTTGTATCTAAGAACTGGAGCCACACTCAGCAGTGGAAGACCATTTAGATGCAAATGAAAGCCAGTGCATGTGTCTGAGCCAAGAGTTTGGTGAGCACAGATAGATCCTACGATACGCCTATATGAACACATTGCAATTTGTCATTGCCGTAATTGCAATTCACTTTCCAATATATTCATCTGTAAAAGGTTAAAGGGAAACTCCAGTGCCAGGAAAACAATCCGTTTTCCTGGTACTCCAGGTCCCCTCTCCCTCCCACCCCCCATCACCGGTTGCTGAAGGGATGAAAACCCCTTAAGTAATTTACCAGAGGCAGCGACGATGTCCCATGTCGCTGCTTCTTCCTCCGCCGCCGCTCCTCCCTGTGATTGTGTCGGCCGGTGGGCGAGACTGATCCCACCCACTGGCCGGGGAGACCTAATGCGCATGCACGGCAATGCCCCCCCCCATAGGAAAGCACTGAAATGAGCAACGCTGGAGGTACTCACACAGAGTAAGGACGTCCAGCGACGCTATAGCACAGGTTTTCTGTGCTGTGGACAAGGAAGTGCCCTCTAGTGGCTGTCTGGTAGACAGCCACTAGAGGTGGAGTTAACCCTGCAAGGTAATTATTGCAGTTTATAAAAAACTGCAATAATTACAGTTGCAGGGTTAAGAGTAGTGGGAGTTGGCGCCCAGACCACTCCAATGGGCAGAAGTGGTCTGGGTGCCTGGAGTGTCCCTTTAATATTAATTAGTTCCTTAAAGAATCCTATAAGAATAAATGTTGTCTGCACAGAAGATGATCCTTACTGATTAAGTTTATAGACAAGACTTGTGTGGAGTGCTATATATCTCACGCACTTATAGTGTTCGTTTTACACTAGTTTTTCCCACTTATGTTTACTTCAAGATAGGGTTCATCGTTTTAAACAAGTAAAAATGTATTGTTTTGTTACTATATATTTTTTTATGATTAGGTATACAATCGTAATTGTGATCACACTTTGGTTTCTGTATTTTTATTATTTAGTCTGTGGTGAGCTCTGGTTTGTATGTGTATAATCTCATTGTGTTTTATTAGGACTACAGAGAGAATTTGAACATTATTTTATTCATATGGCAGATCACTTACTTGTAGTTTGAAAATCATTGCTTTGCAATAAGGGTTTTCAAGTAGTGGACCAATTAAAACAGGAGAGAGTCTACAACACAGGAAAAAACACAAAAACTATAAAAACCATTAAAACACAAAACTATGAAAATGTATCAGAAAGCCTAGGGAGGCCCAGAAGAGGCTAAAACACATACCAAACACTCCAAAAAAGTTCAGATGATCCAAAAAGAAACATTAAGAGAAAAAGTGATATTATAAAGAGACTGGAAGGATTATTCACACTTCTCCATTTCCTGGGCCAACAAATGGGGTATATATAAAAAAGCAGGAGTCCAGAGGACATCCGATATCTAGGGAAGACTAGCTTAGAGGTCCCCCATACTCATTAATGTGATGTGTAGGAGTGGGGAATAATATTCAGGCAACTCACGTAATCACTCCACTGCAGGATAGGGGATCAGTGCTATAAATAAGAGTTTAAATAATCATTTCCAACATTCGGTAGCATCATAATCTATCCTAATATCATATTCCATGCAGTGAGATATTTAGAAGGTGCATGGACTTGACTACGCCCACCCACTTCTTAATCTAACATGCATGCAAAATGCTCACAACACCCCAATATCTTCTCCTGCCAGCAAGGTAGAGAATAATAAAAAAAAATTATAAATATAAAAATGTAAAGGGACATTCCAGAGCTCTAGAGCACTTTAACTTGTTAAAAAGCTTTAAGTGTGAAAAATGTGTCCTCTTTTTTCGTTTTGCAAAAGTACAGATTTCAATTGAAATTTACACTTTTATAAATTAACCTGTTACACCCCATGACTGTTAATGAGGCAACATGTATTTTTACTTCCTGGTTTGGTTAGCTCAGTGGTGCTAAACTAAAGAGGCAGCTATTGCCCAGAGCACCTGCCTTGCAACGATTTCTCAGTGAGCTGCATTGAGAAGTCTATGATTGGACAGCCACAGAAAGTCTGGGTGCGGTTAGATGGGGAGGGCTTGTAAAGGCTACAGTAAAGAGATATGCAGGTTTTTCACAAGGTTTTTAGATATAATCCAAATTTAAATAATGCCTAATTAAGAGCATATATGTATGCAGTCATTTGGTGTTTATCTGCTAAACAGTGATTTTTAAATGTATTTTGTATTTGGGCAGTACAGTGTCCCTTTGATGGAAACTAGAAAAATAGACAAATTATGTAGGCTGACTGGAGTATATTTCTATATCAGCCGTAAAACTATGAGCCATTTACATTAGGTGTAATTCCTGACACATACTGTGTTAGAGCAATGTAAAATTCATGACACAAATCAATAATATGTGTATAAATTTAACTTACATATGGGAACAAAAATGAGAAAAAGAAGCATGAAAATATGGGACAGGAAACAGGAAGAGCAAGAAAGCAACATGTCACGGTGCTGGTATGCCAGGTTACGTTGCATCCTAATTCTGTGCAGTATTTCTGTGCAGTATTTCTGTGCAGTATTAGGCATCCTCTGTCTGAGCGTTTTGGTAGCTCATGACGCTGTTTTGTAGATTCGGATCCTGGCTGCTGCAGTTCTACTTTCTGATATGGTACTACACTCTTGAGCATCATTGGTGACTCGAAGGAGCTTACTTCATTGGTGAAATGCCACAAACCCGCTTTGGCAAGGCGAGAATGAGGTTGACATTTCGTTGACAACATAGGTCTAATTAAGCTCATACCGCATGTAGTACTGTGCCCTGTCATGGTTTACCCAATGTGGTGATCCAAAAGCGAGTTATTCTAGTATCTGTTTTTGGCAATTTTTACCTTGGCTAGTATCTTGACCATTCTCCATTTTGCTGTCCCTAAACCATGGCTTATCTACTTAATTATATTTCTCCCTGTCACCATGACCTTGGCTTGTCTACAACTATTATGTTTTGTGTTAAGCTGGGCTACTATAAGATCTGGTAATACACCTCTATGTAACTAATTAGACCTCCGTTAGTGATTAAACTTCACTATATTGCAGAAAATAAAATAGAAAACTTCACCAATCCACGTCCAAAAATCTGCCCACTAACCACAGCCATTTTAAATGTTCACTAGTGATGAGTGGGGAGTAAGGAAAGTGAAGAGTGCAGAGGAGGGGTGAGAAGTGTAAAGAATAGAGGGTGAGGGGTGAGGAATGTTACGTTTGGGAAGTGAGAGGTGAGGAGTGTAAAGAGTGGTGGGTGAGAGGTGAGGAGAGCAAAGCGTGGGGAGTGAGGGGAGTTGTTAGTGTTATGGGGGTAGGGGAAATATATCTTTACCTGTATAGTCAAAATTCCCAACACCAGTCCTTATTGTCATTAATGGAGTAAAACAATTTGTATCTCTGATCATTAATCACACTGTGAATAAAGATACAAGCCGTCTCTATTTTTATTACAAAATGCTAGAGACATTGGGATTAACTAAAGGTGTGAATTATAGATACATTAAGGTTAATATAATGTTCCCAATATAAATTATCTTTTTTTTAAAGAACATTAGATATAGAAATAGATGTAGAAATGAAATTATTGTTGCAGTACAAGGAGTGTATATCTGTACTGTATTACCTGTTACTAAGCAACACACCTTATTGAATAAACACCTTTAGATTGCTGTCACCTCCCACTGGGACTCGATACCTGCTCATTAACTGCTACTGAACCAGTAATGTGACTGCAGCTAAGAGGGAGGTCGCGTGTTCATAGATTTTGTATTCTAGGACATTGTGGCTTTCTGAACTGACACGGTCTAACAGAAATGTCTCTCAAGAAAGTCCTGTGAGTACACAGCAAATCATTATTCCCATGGAGAAGAATATATATATATAGCTATATATATATATATATATATCACTATGGCCTCAATTTAATATTGTTTGATATGGTTTACAAATGATTTAATGTTATTGGGTAAACTTTTAGAATGATTCAATATTAAATATTAAAAAAATACTTTAATTTTGTAATTTTATATATATATATTATCTGGTATTTTAATATTTTAAAAAAAATGTAAAAGTATATTCAAAAATATTAAATAATTTGGAAAGTTTATCAAAAAATATTAAATTGAGGCCTTTTTTTAGTCCTACAGCATATAACAAGTTAAATAGTATATAGAATGAATCTGCAGTTAGCATTGCTACTTATAGTCAATGTTAGAAATTGTGTGCATATTGATGTATATTTATATATACATACATGTGTACCTGTTCATCTGTGTGTGTGTGTGTGTGTGTGTGTGTGTATTTACTCACTTGCTTTCTATTTAAAAAATATTATTAAATTTGAAATATCTAAACATAGTCAGTATGCAGGTTTTCCTTGTTTAGGTAATATGAATTAACTATTTCATGTGAATTCGTACTGCATTTAGACTCGAAAGTCTCGTTATTAAAGCTACGATAGCCTTAATTCCTTGCTAGGAAAGGCCTGGTCACTGTATAACCTGTGCTATAGATTAAAATCTCACTTTGCCTTCTCAAACTCTGTCAGGATTATTTTCTAAAATGGAAACTGTTGTGAATATAAAGTGAATTTCAAATTTAAGACCAAAATAATCAAACTGGAAAAAAATATCTTAAAGTCAGCTATGCTTTCATTTCAGCTACTTTGACCTTAAAAGTGACATAATCTCACTTTTTTAAATGTATAATCTTTATTGCCGCTGATTTAAACAAAGTCATAACTTAACTTCCAGTTGTACCACAAAAAAAAGGAGAAAAGCCCATGTTTTTTTTTTTTTTTTAAATACAGTATTATATACTTTTTATTGAGTAAATATAACATAATTTTATTGTATTTGGTTCTGGTTTATAAAGCATTTGTTCAATCAGGAGGCACAAACATTTAATTTTAAAGGATTCCACAAGGCCTGGATTTTAAAGGGGGAGATCATCACAGAGTTGGAAACTAAACCAGTAAATAAAACATTTAAAATCCTCTATAACTTGCTTAACCATTTTTTTAAATTTTTTTTAATCATGTCAAGTAATTTTCTTTTTAATGTGTAATAAAGTTTTAGCAATTTTGAATTAAACTTCAGTCCTGGCACATCCAAGGCACAAATTGCTTTAGAGAATGAAAACCAGAATCATTTTTTTATTTCTCCAATTCTCCACATTATTCTCTATGTCCAAAAAGAACATAGGACATAGCAGTGATTACCAGGGAAACAAGATGAACGAGCACAGTATCAGAATAGAGGGAAGTTGGTTTCTACGTTTAATTTTATTTTTTTAGAAACACATACTTGCAAAAAATATATGGCAGAAGTAACGATGATATAATTAATGTTGTTTTGTTCAATTTCTAACCACTGCAATTTTTGTTAAATAACCTATGATTTGCTAACAAATTGACCAAAATAAAATGTTTCTGCTTGAAATACAATATTCCTCTCCAAAATATCTTTGCTAAGCTGGCTGTAGCTTGAGTCCAGGTTCCCTGTAATTGGCTCACGTATCTCACTGTCAAAATATTGTCCATTCTCAAAAGGACAGAGCAATGTGTTAATAACTGCAACATTTTCTATGGATTCTTGACCCTTTCAAAGATCCCTTTAATAACTTTTTATCTCTGCTCTGCAAAGCGCTCCCCAGTCAAACCTGCAGGAGTTTGACTCTATAATTATTTTGGGCCCAGTCTGAACCTTGCACTGCTTCTCTGTCACCATGTGTCCTATACACCATATTAATACGTGTTTGGCTTCACAAGTACCTTAAGCCCAAAAAAACATCATAAACTGAGGGGTCACACCAACTATTTTTGCTAGGTTTCTTAAAGCTATCACCCCTTTTTTTTTTTAAATCAAGCAAATTGTCCTTCACTATAGCCTTTATCTTTTGATCTCTGCAGATTCAATATCTCATTATATGAATCAGCCTTGCCATTGAGAGTGTGTGAGTGTCCCATGTGTGCACATGTTGGTGTTCCTGTATGCTTACAATATTAATATGTGTTTTGTTGGTGATCTTGTGTGTGCAACATAAGTGTTTATGTCATATTCCAGGTATGTGCAATGTCAGCAAGCATGTATATCAGTGTTCCACTGTGTGCAATGTCAGTATGTGTATATATCAATGTACCTGTGTGTGCCCACAGCGTTCTTCTCTTCTCTGAGAACTGCCATAATTAAACATGTGTGGAATGGTAGAAGACCGTGACTCAGACATGAGATCCTCTGCCTGCCACGTCAGAAATACCACCATGCAACTGTATTACAGCGCATCTTGGAGTGGCATTAATGACCAAGACACAAGCAATGGATTGCCTTGGAGGAGGCCACACAAGACACCACCTGCTTGCGGATGTGTGGTCCGCCTGCATATCCCCGTTGGGCGGCCTGAACCAGTTGTCCCCTGTGGCTCACACTTTATAAACCTGGACCTCCACGCGTAGGACCACACACTTGTCATCGGGCCGCACCTAGGCCCGATGACACCGCTCACCAACAACCGCTCGAACGGAGAAGAACTGACTTCCAAAGCATAAGGTTTCCTAGGTGACTGAGACTTTATACCTATACATGATGTCCTCGACGACACGGAGCTGAAACCTTTGCCAGATCTGACCAACAACCATGCTCCAACGCAATTACAATCTTCCTGATACACACAATTACAGTATTTTTACAATTCACACACTGACAAAGTATCCATTCATAGAGATCTCACGCAATTTGAAACCTTGTGCCTGACCAAAACCAATCTCAACATGGCGATCTCATTCCTTTGCCAGTATGCCTTAGTGAGAGCGATTCTGACCGACACACCTTCAAGCGGCAGTGGGAACATATCAATGGGAAAAGATACTCATCTTACACCATAAACCATCAATAAGCACGCATTACCAAGAAGTAAACTATAAACTTCTTTCACAGTGGTATAAAACTCCGGCTCTTCTACACAAGATCTTCCCAACTGTTCTGGCAACTTGCTGGAGGTGCAACAGGGGAGAAGAGATTACCAGACACATATGGTGGGACTGTCCTGGCATAACTTCATTCTGGGACTCTATACAAGCCAAAATCACAGAAATCTTGGGTCTTTCGTCACCCTTGACTATGGAACAAATTTTGCAACACTCCACATCTTGAAATACAAAAAATCCATCCTGAGACATATGATTGATGTTGCAAAGGCGCTAGTGCCCGCGCTCTGGAAACAATTCCAGACGTCAACGCTTACACAATGGTACGAACGGATAGAGGAGATCTACTCGACTGAGGCCATCAGGGCATCAGTGATGGGACAGAGTGACAAACATGTTGAACTGTGAAGACCATGGATAGAATATATTGCTAAGAGTGGCACAGGATCTAGCAGGAATTGAGGCAGCAAAATGGGGGAGGTGCCCTCAGCACAATGACGGGTGGTACCAGTTTGTTCACCGAAAGATTCACCTTCTCTCCATTAATACAGTGACTTCCAACCCACACATGCTAGCGACACTAGGGAGGTTTCCGATCCCGATGTACAGTACAGTAACCTACCGAGGGACTTACCTACACAGGAAACTACACAACCTAGGATTAACCACACACTCTTGGACTGACAGATGGACTTGACAACAAAGGCACACACTCTTGTCCCACACTGGGATAGGGATCTATGCAACATGGTAACAGGGCCCTTCCTGGCCCCCATGTCACCGTCCCTCGAATTAGACTCCAATGGGGGGAGGAAGGGGAGACCTATAACATGCTGACCTATAACACCAGGATGCAAGCAAGTGGTCTCGCATCTCAGTAGCAGGGGGGGATGGGAACTGGGGGTGGTTGAGAGGGAGGGCTGCCCACTGCAAAATATGCCCAATTCAAGTGAAAAGCAGTTAAGGGAACAATTCCCAGAAGATAAATTCTACAGCATTGTTGGCCCATGTCCGGGACTCGAACTACCCAGGTTCTGTCCCCTGACATCCAACTGGGGATTTTAACAACATAGACACATGGGTTAAGGTTGAGCTCCAACAACAGATTAGCCTGTGCCTTTATATTAATAGAAATTATGGGAGGTTCTAGGAACATGCTCTACTGTTTAAGTGTTAACATTCATTATAGTATACCACACCCTCAAACCACACATCACAACCTACTGGAACTACTGCTTATGCAAACACTCACAGAACCTTGTAAAAGGTTACCCAAATAACTCTCCTAGACACTACCACTTATGCACTCACCAGGAATGTTAAGTCCTCCAACCTATCACTCACTGATCACTTAGTGCAACGTTGGTTTCTCACTGACCACACAACAGCTCGGTCTGAAAAAAGACTAACAAAAAGCGAATGTATTTTATAAAATAAAAAACAAAATAACAAAATCACAATATTAGCATAGGCAAACTGTTTGCAATACACCATAACGAAAACAGACAAGACAGCTAATTTATAAATTTACACTCATAGGGACAATAAGCAACTCAAAAGGCCGCTTGATAATCTCTGTTAGTATGGTTATAAGATGTATGTTGCGGGACCTGCGTGTCCCTTCTTTTCTAAAATGTTACCAGACCTGCGTGTCTAAACCGCTTGCATTTAAAGTCAGTATCTTGCCACTTAGGTTATATGCGAGACCTGCGAGTCTCAATTTCTTGCCATAATATATGATTATACGATAAACCAATGAAAAACAGTCAGTATGTGTGTATATATCAGTGTTCTAGTGTGCTCAATGTCAGTATGTGTGTATATATAAAAATGTTCCAGTGTGTGCAATAGTAGAGACGTACTGGATACCGCACTCACCAATTAACCCAGACGCTCTGAAGACAGAGCTGGCCAGGCCTCCCTTCCAAGATATGCAGAATAAATAAATGTTCAGGCACTCTGGTATAACAAAAATAACCACTTTATTGATGCAAAAGTAGCAATGTTTAGACCCTGCCAGGTCTTTATCAGTGTGTGCATTGACTACCGCGGTCGCACGGGTCACAGTTGCGATCGGCCCGTCACTTCAGGGGGCCCGGCCAACCTGCGGACCCCTGCGACCGCGGGGCCCGCTAGCTGAGTAATGTGGCACCGGCCCGCGCTGTGTACCCATGGTTCCTAGTTACGCCTCTGAGTGTGTGCAATGTCAGTATATGTGTATATGTGTGTATATCAGTGTTCAAGTGTAAAAACAATGTAAAAAATCACTTTTTAAGGAAAGCAAATCAATTAAACTGTTAATAGTTTTTTCTTCCCGTACATTGGTGGGCAACCCTGCTTTCTCTCCTTCAACTGTGTCATCCACGAAAATGAACCATTTATTAAAACTATTTTAGTAACCTACTTTTTCCCATAAATGAAATACATCCTTACCCTTACCTCTTGTATCACTTTACCCCACTACCTCTAGAATGTAAGCTTGTTTGAGTTTTCAGTTTGCTTTCAACACCCTATTAACTTGTCTTGCTCCAAAAACTTGTCTGTTAGTCCATCCGTTGTACAGCACTGTGGAATATGTTGGAGCCACTAACGTACATATAGTGAGTGTGTCTGCATGTGTCTGTGTGTATGTCTTTATGTATGTGTCTGTATGAGTGTGTGTCTGTATGTATATATCCGTGTGTGTCTCTGTATGTCTCTGTATGTCTGTGTGTGTCTCTGTATGTGCCTGTGTCTCTGTATGTATGTGTCTGTATCATACAGAGACACACACACACATACAGACACATACATACATAGAGACACACACACATACAGACACATAAATACAGAGACGCACAGACACATGCATACAGAGACGCACACAGACATACATACAGACACATACATACAGACTGTGTGTGTCTGTGTGTATGGCTTTTGGGGCTGTGTGTGTGCATGTGTGTGTCTGTCTGTATGTGTATGTATGTGTGTGTGTCTGTGTGTATGTATGTGTCTGTCAGTGGGGGTGTATGTGTGTGTGTGTCTGTCTGTGTGTATGTATGTGTGTGTCTGTCTGTGAACGCGTGTTTGCCTCTATGTATGTCTGTGTCTGTATGTATGTGTCTGGGGGGATGCGGATTGGGGGGGTGGGGTACGGATCGGAGGCGTTATCTGTCCCTAGCCTCCTTAGTTCTCTCTGTATTGCCTCATAATTCTGTCCCTAGCCTCCTTATTTTTCTCCATATCCCCTCATTATCTATCCCAAGCCACATGTTATATGTCCCTAGCCTCCTTAGTTTTCTCCATACCCCCTATCCTCCTTAGTTCTCTCACTATCCCTCGTTATCTGTCCCTAGCCTACTTTGTTCTCTCACTATCCTCTCGTTATCTGTCCCTAGCCTCCCTAGATCTCTCACTTTCTCTCGTTATCTGTCCCTATCCTCCTTGGTTCTCTCACTATCCTCTTGTTATCTGCCCCTATCCTCCTTAGTTCTCTCACTATCCCTCATTATCTGTCCCTAGCCTACTTTGTTCTCTCACTATCCTCTCGTTATCTGTCCCTAGCCTCCTTAGTTCTCTCACTATCCTCTCGTTATCTGCCCCTATCCTCCTTAGTTCTCTCACTATCCCTCGTTATCTGTCCCTAGCCTCCTTAGATCTCCCACTATCCTCTCGTTATCTGTCCCTAGCCTCCTTAGTTCTCTCCCTATCCCTTTGTTATCCGTCCCTAGCCTCCTTAGTTCTCTCCCTATCCCTTTGTTATCTGTCCCTATTCTCCTTAGTTCTCTCACTATCCTCTTGTTATCTGCCCGTATCCTCCTTAGTTCTCTCACTATCCTCTCGTTATCTGTCCCTAACCTACTTTGTTCTCTCACTATCCCCTGTTATATGTCCCAAGCCTCCTTAATTCTCTCACTATCCTCTCGTTATCTGTCCCTATCCTCCTTAGTTCTCTCACTATCCTCTCGTTATCTGCCCCTAGCCTCCTTAGTTCTCTCACTATCCTCTCGTTATCTGCCCCTAGCCTCCTTAGTTCTCTCACTATCCTCTCGTTATCTGTCCCTATCCTCCTTAGTTCTCTCACTATCCTCTTGTTATCTGCCCTTATCCTCCCTAGTTCTCTCACTATCCCTCGTTATCTGTCCCTAGCCTCCTTAGATCTCTCACTATCCTCTTGTTATCTGTCCCTAGCCTCCTTAGTTCTCTCCCTATCCCTTTGTTATCTGTCTGTAGTCTCCTTAGTTCTCTCCCTATCCCTTTGTTATCTGTCCATATCCTTCTTAGATCTCTCACTATCCCTCGTTATCTGTCCCTAGCCTCCTTAGATCACTCACTATCCTCTCGTTATCTGTCCCACTCTCCTCCTTAGTTCTCTCCCTATCCCTCTGTTATCTGTCCCTAGTCTCTTTATTTCTCTCCCTATCCCTTTGTTATCTGTCCCTATCCTTCTTAGTTCTCTCATTATCCCTCGTTATCTGTCCCTAGCCTACTTTGTTCTCTCACTATCCTCTCGTTATCTGCTCCTTAGTTCTCTCATTATCCTCTCGTTATCTGTCCATATCCTCCTTAGATCTCTCACTATCCCTCGTTATCTGTCCCTAGCCTCCTTAGATCTCTCACTATCCTCTCGTTATCTGCCCCTATCCTCCTTAGTTCTCTCCCTATCCCTTTGTTATCTGTCCCTATCCTCCTTAGTTCTCTCACTATCCTCTCATTATCTGTCCCTATCCTCCTGGGTTCTCTCACTATCCTCTCGTTATCTGCCCCTATCCTCCTTAGTTCTCTCATTATCCTCTCATTATCTGTCCCTATCCTCCTGGGTTCTCTCACTATCCTCTTGTTATCTGCCCCTATCCTCCTTAGTTCTCTCACTATCCCTCGTTATTTGTCCCTAGCCTACTTTGTTCTCTCACTGTCCTCTCATTATCTGTCCCTAGCCTCCTTAGATCTCTCACTATCTCTCGTTATCTGTCCCTATCCTCCTTGGTTCTCTCACTATCCTCTTGTTATCTGCCCCTATCCTCCTTAGTTCTCTCACTATCCCTCGTTATCTGTCCCTAGCCTACTTAGTTCTCTCACTATCCTCTTGTTATCTGCCCCTATCCTCCTTAGTTCTCTCACTATCCCTCGTTATCTGTCCCTAGCCTACTTTGTTCTCTCACTATCCTCTCGTTATCTGCCCCTATTCTCCTTAGTTCTCTCATTATCCTCTCATTATCTGTCCCTATCCTCCTTGGTTCTCTCACTATCTCTCATTATCTGTCCCTATCCTCCTTGGTTCTCTCACTATCCTCTTGTTATCTGCCCCTATCCTCCTTAGTTCTCTCACTATCCCTCGTTATCTGTCCCTAGCCTACTTTGTTCTCTCACTATCCTCTCGTTATCTGTCCCTAGCCTCCTTAGTTCTCTCCCTATCCCTTTGTTATCTGCCCCTATCCTCCTTAGTTCTCTCACTATCCCTCGTTATCTGTCCCTAGCCTCCTTAGATCTCTCACTATCCTCTCGTTATCTGTCCCTAGCCTCCTTAGTTCTCTCCCTATCCCTTTGTTATCTGTCCCTATTCTCCTTAGTTCTCTCACTATCCTCTTGTTATCCGTCCCTAGCCTCCTTAGTTCTCTCCCTATCCCTTTGTTATCTGTCCCTATTCTCCTTAGTTCTCTCACTATCCTCTTGTTATGTGCCCGTATCCTCCTTAGTTCTCCCACTATTCATCGTTATCTGTCCCTAACCTACTTTGTTCTCTCACTATCCCCTGTTATATGTCCCAAGCCTCCTTAATTCTCTCACTATCCTCTAGTTATCTGTCCCTATCCTCCTTAGTTCTCTCACTATCCTCTCGTTAGCTGTCCCTAGCCTCCTTAGTTCTCTCACTATCCTCTCGTTATCTGTCCCTATCCTCCTTAGTTCTCTCACTATCCTCTTGTTATCTGCCCCTATCCTCCTTAGTTCTCTCACTATCCCTCGTTATCTGTCCCTAGCCTCCTTAGATCTCTCACTATCCTCTTGTTATCTGTCCCTAGCCTCCTTAGTTCTCTCCCTATCCATTTGTTATCTGTCCCTATTCTCCTTAGTTCTCTCACTATCCTCTTGTTATCTGCCCGTATCCTCCTTAGTTCTCTCACTATTCCTCGTTATCTGTCCCTAACCTACTTTGTTCTCTCACTATCCCCTGTTATATGTCCCTATCCTCCTTAGTTCTCTCACTATCCCTTGTTATCTGTCCATATCCTCCTTAGTTCTCTCACTATCCCTTGTAATCTGTCCCTATCCTCCTTAGTTCTCTCCCTATTACTTTCTTATCTGTCCGTTGCCTACTTAGTTCTCTCACTATCCCTTGTTATCTGTCCCAAGCCTCCTTAGTTCTCTCCCTATTACTTTGTTATCTGTCTGTTGCCTACTTAGTTCTCTCACTATCCCTTGTTATCTGTCCTTAGCCCCAGTACCTAGCCCACTCCTAGATTTCTCTCCCTACCTCACCTAGTTATCTCCCTCTCAACCCTCCACTTATCTCTCCCTTGGTCTCTCCTGCCATAGTATGGGTATTGTGGCCAGGCCGTCATTGCCTTTCTTTTCAGCCCAAACTGGACGCTACTGGTAGCAGTGCTGTGACATCAGATCACTGCTTATCTTTAACTGGGCAGAAACTAGCCATGCAAGGTTTAATTATTATCATTGCAATGGACTGTGGAATCAGTTTGCGCTATTTAAATGCTAATATTAATCATAATTAAGGCTGAGAAGGAGGTCAGAGCACTGCACTAAGCATTGACTGCTTGGCCACACTACGGTTCTATAATGGGTGGCCAAAGGGCATGAAGGTGGGCATCCTATCTATGGTACAGGTGGCAGGAATGCCCCCTACTCTGCTTTCCCTGGGAGATCACTCTCCCAAGGATGGCCGTGCACTAAACTAATTAATGTCCCTAGAAAGAAGTAATGCATAATTGCTCAACTTTTTAAAAAATCTAAATCAGTCATTGGATGTTAAATTTGATAGTTTGTGCATATCTGTCTGTCTGTCTGCCTAGGTAGGCAGGCTAGGTAGGCAGACAGACAGACAGTTGCTTCTAAATGCTAATGATCTTTTTTACCTCTGAGTGTTATTTATTCTTTCCAAATTATCCTCAAATTGTCAGAAAGCTTATGTAATCATATTCATTTATTAAGGAATATATTTATTTAACTTTAAAATAAAATCTTGGTTGTGAAAGGGTTAAGGTTTGATTTCTTTAGACAGCTACTGGGGATAAAGGTTTATTTTTTCTTACCAGCACGTTGATAAATCTATCGACTAACGTTTGCAAATTAGCTCAGAAAATGGAATTCAGCTCCTGTAAAGCAACTGTTAAATAAAATAATACCTTGCCGGCTGGCTCGGTGCAGTGTATTCAGTCATACAGTAAAAAAAAAAAAAGGAAACCCAGAATCGAGCCAAGCATAGTATGTAATCTAATATCTTTGGGAGAGAGAGAGAAGTTATCGTGCTCTACTGCAGTAAACCTATTCTCTCCTCGCAGGCTGTGGATACACACTTTCTCTGCTCCTGATTCTTCTCCAAGAATTCCTCCAAATTCCCAGTGTCCTATGTATGATGACAGAGAAGACCCTTTCTGTCCTTAAACAGAGCACTTGGGAACCTAAGCGGCTGGGCACAAGCCCCTGGGTGAGTAATAGTTACAGTATAGTTACAGTATAGACTTGAAAAAGTCTGCAAAATATTTTTTCCTCTACTAACAACCTAAAAATCTTGCATTCCCAGCTTCCAAATTGCAGCTATTCTGCTATCGGTAACTTGTTTGTCCTTTAATCAGCTGATGAGTTCCACTCCATCCTCTGCTGTTTATATGTAATCAGACAGCCTGGTCTTGTTCTAAACAAGTAGACGAGCAGAATGTGTCACTGATTGTTCCTAATATTTGTTTACAGAATGGAATCTCCAAAGCTTTAAACATGAATTATTTGGCAATTGGGTGCAGAGGCTGCTGGGTTGTAATGAATGCACCCATTGTTTTGTGTTTGTTTGGCCCATATTTTATTTTCTCAGAAAGAGCTTGTGCATGTTCCAAGCATCTCTTGTGATTAGTGGCAAAGTCTCCGAATGTCCACAAGCTTGCGGAATGTGTCAGCTTGCAGCTGAAAGGTCTGGGCATCTCTGTAGGTTTAAAGGGTCTGCACAAGTATACGTTAAATTCCTCAGAGTGAATCCTCATCAAATCTCAGGCAGATTCCATCGCCCTATGTTAACTGGGCTGGCTGTATATTTATTAGGGAAGTTTTGGAAACAATTGCTTTTCTGCTTCAGATTTTCCCAGTTTCTCCATAAACTATTTCACGATCATTCACTCAAATTTGACAGTTTGCAATGAAATTTAAATATCATGCGCAATGTAACAATGAACGCATCATGAGATGGATACTGAAGGGTTAAGATGTGAGCGGAGCATCCTTTAAATTTTTGTCCCATAGTAAAATTGGATTATAGAGCTTTGCTAAATGTGCATGTCTTAAAATGATGCTTAATTATAATGATACAAGTTGCAGCCAGCAATATCTCGTCAGACACACCCTGCCCATTTTCCTGAGTGCAAATGTGGTCCCAATGGATACAGGATACTATTCTTCCCATTCTTGGAGTCTTCAGACTGTCAGGACAATTAATGAGTGCTGCGCTTTGTAAGTACTAAGTATAGAAATTCATGTTAGTATGACATTAACGGTGATATAGCTGCAGAGTGATCGATTTTGTATATACATTTAAGTGGTCCTGAAAGCATTGCAAAGTGTGTGTTTAAAGAGACACATAAAGAGGTCGTAATGAAGGGATTTGGGGTCGTAGATTCTGCTGCTGCGGCGTTCAAAATAAGAAAACGCCTTATCTAACAAATAGCGCTGTTTACATTTCGCGGTTTCACGCAGACAACCACAAGTGTCAATTATTGAATCTATTTATGATTTGGTATCAGCATGCAAAGTGTCCTTACACCCAAGGCTGCGTGTGTCTAATGGCACTGGATTCATTGCTTCTTGTAGATAAATACTGTATTGGATTGGTGGTCAGAGTGATTGTTGCGCATGCACCAAATGTTCAGTGCTTCTCCTATGAGAAGTATACGATTGGACAAATGTCATAAGAACTGATGGCTTCACGCTATGGAGATTGTGATGCTCTAAGGAGTCTTTCCTGGTGCTGGTATAATGATTTTTTAAGGCAGGGCCATGTGATCTAAATAACAAAAGGAATATGTATTGTTAAAAAATATAGTTTTAATTAGAAGGGTCCTTTAAGTGTGAGATTAAAGGACCACTATAGTGCCAGGAAAATATACTCGTTTTCCTGGCACTATAGTGCCCTCAGGGACCCCCTCCCGCCGGGCTGGATGGCGAGGAAAGGGTTAAATCTTCTCTGAAACTGCTATGTTTATTAAAAAAAGGGTTAATCCTAGAGGGACCTGGCACCCAGACCACTTCATTAAGCTGAAGTGGTCTGGGTGCCTAGAGTGGTCCTTTAATAAATGTCCCTCCAGATTAAAATTCCATCTCTGAATTTGACATGAAATTGCAACTGCAGTTTATTAAAAGATATTCAGAAGTAGATTTGCAAAGTTGTACTCACAGAGTCAGGAACCAGATCAAAAATAAATGACAAAATTCTATGAAAAGTATAGGAATTTAAATATTTGTCAAACTTGGACAGGATCCAAATTGACCCAGAAATTACCATTTGGAGCTAGATTTAAATATTCTAGGGGATTCTTTTTTCTGCTTTTTAGTATCAAGTTGAGCCAAAAATTACAAAAAAAATCTTCCCACTGGATGTTCATGCAGGTAGTGTGATTCCACCAATCTTTAGACTTATTCCCAACAGAGTAGAGTGCTAGTTTCACTGCATCACTACTCAATGGGTCTGGAAGTTGAAAGAGGAACTTCTTATAACCCAGCAAGCAGGTATAATGCCTCACCCCATTTCCTCACCCCTTTGATGGTGTATGTGGGTTATGAATTGAATATTTCTGAAGAAATGGAACTTAAATGACCATTTTCTCCTTTTTACAATCCCGTGGTGTGGACAGTTGATGAATAATTGACAGAATAGTTTAAAGATTATTCATTAAAGGACCACTCCACACACATTAAGCACTTTCTCATGTTGTGAAGAGCAAGAGTGTGTAATCTTTTTCCATTTTACAAAAAGTGCAGATATCAATAGATACTGGCATTTTTATGAACTAACCTTGTTTCACCCATGTGACTGTCAATCAGACAACCGGTTCTGTTACTTCCTGGTTTGTTTAGCTCAGTGGAGCTAAACTCAAGAGGCAGCAATTGTCCAGAGCACCTGAATTGCAAAGACTTCTCTTTGAGCTGCATTGGGAAGTCTGGGAGAGTGTTTGATAGAAGAAGAGCAGTAGAAAGGAACGGTAGAAAGATGGAATGTGTGTGTCAGAGAGAGAGAGAGGAGATGAACATGTGTGGGGCTGCCTCCTTATGTAATCAAAAGCACGCTCTCATTTCTCATATTTGTAAAATCTGGAGTCAGGATTAGTAGCTGAGAAATATGGTCTGATAATGCTGTTACAAAGATGCACAATCTTAACATAGGACCACATAGTGACTGAGTCTACATTATTATACATTGTTATACATCCATCTAGTCTTTATGGAAAGATTTGGGATTAACAGTACTTTTATTTCTGCGAAGGCAAGTCTGAACTTCTCCTAAATGCAGAACTTTTGAAAACAAGGTTTAGTTTTGTCGACACATTATATTTTCAGACTAAAAGCTTTAACTTTATACTTGTTTGTTGCAGTCAAACAGAGGGGAAATAAAGGCAGGTTTAAAACTCTAATGCCATCTCATTAGAGTTTTTAGGGACATTTGGTTACTATTTCTGGAGATATGATCGGAACCTACAGAGATATACTTCTGATTTAAATGACTGCTAAGCATACTGACTGGAGCACCCATTGGAAAATACCTAACTGGAGCACCTTTTGGTAGAGGCCTGACTAGATGATTTTTGGTATAGGCCTGACTGAAGCACCTCTTGATAGAGGCCTGACTAAAGGAACCCATGTGAGAGACTTAATGGAAATATCTTTAGGGATGTACCTGCTTTCAGCACCTGTTTGGAGAGGTCTATTTATACAGAGACGTGACTGGAGTAACTCTACCTGAGATAAAATTGGATCTCTACTTGGTGGCAAGCTGATTGGAGAATCCCTTGGGCAATACTCTACTTGGTTATCTCAAGAGAGAGTTGTTAGTGGAACACCTCTTGGAAGAGACTTGCAAGGAGCATCACTTGTGTAATATCTAACTAGAGTATCTATTGAGCTAGACCTGTCTTGGCCACCAATTGGGTTAGATATGGTCAGAGAACATGACAGGACACTTCCTGGGAAAAACATGGAAGTAGCACTACTTGGGGGAGATTTAACTAAACAACATCAACCAAGAAAGATGTGTGTGGAGCATCTCTTTGGGGAGTTCTCTTTCGGGTATCCCTTGGTAGATACTTAATTCAGGTTTCTCTTGGGAGAGACCTGACTCGGAGGTAGCTAAACTGAGAACATCTTGGTACATAGCTAATTTGAACAATTCTTTACCTGGGTACATTGACAATACAGTTCTTTTCTTTAAACACACACTATTGTTTTAATATAATATAAATACATTGTACACTATGTACCTAATGTATATTATGTATGAACCTTTGGTTTAACTCTTCGTTGTATGTTTTCTGTGTATGTCTGCTGGTAAAATGTGTTTTTGTTTTTCATGGCTTTATTTTGTAGCATGTAGCTACACACCCATCTAAATTTAGAAAAGTAATAAAGAATTGTATCAGTTGGCTGTGTTTGTTGTTATATGATTTAATTCATTTTAGGAACATGTTAGATCTATATTTATGTACATGTATTTTGGACAGTTATGTTAGAAACAGAGTTTCATTATTACTGTAGAACTAAATGCTGGATATGTGAGACAGGAACATGTTTACTGTTTCATAGACGAGGCAATCATTGCTTTGACTTCCCTACCCTTGAGAAGAATACAGTGAGATTCACATTGATATGATTTAGTAGAAGAGGTCCTACGACTGTGACCTAGAGATATATATCTTAAAAAATATCAGTTTACAGCAACAGAGGGAAGCATAATTACTAAATGGAACTATAGACAAAATATACAAGAAGACAACCTGTAATTTTATAAGAAACGAAGAGCAGTAATTCTACATTGTTTTCCAAGGTGGCCACAGTTTCTTTAATTCCTCAGGGGTTCATGTGCACCTCATTATAGTTACATGTTAGCAGGTGTTAGATACTTTTAAATTGTTTTAATCTAATAAATGTGTAAGCAGTCTCTCTCATGAATTTCCCATCACAATCTGCCTCGAACACTCCCCACCATGGATTAAATTGTGAATTCCCACAAACTCCTTGTTTCTTTTTGTTCCACTGTATACTGATTTTTTAGTAATGGTTTACTGCCTTAACCCTTGCACATCACTGCTTCTCAGTGGTATACATGGAGAAAGTATCTTTGCAAAGGCTTTTTAATGTTATCTTTTTTTTTTGCATCCTGTATTTGTAGTACAGTACATTATTATTATACGATTTTATTTAACTAATGTTCTTGTGAATTGATCATGGAGACGAGTAATTTATAGTGTGTTCTTGGGTTCTGTAAAATATTACCCAAAATCCTTAAAGTATTATGTCTGTGCCTTGTTAGTGGAGATTGTGATTGCTTGTCTGGTGGGAAACTGACTTCTCCACAGTGTGAATGGAATCAATGTTACATGTGCTTCTCCCACTGGGACATATTCGTCAGCTGAGAACACGTGTTTTAGATGTTATTTAAAGTGTCACTGTCATCAGAAACTGCCTTCATTGCACTATAGCACTCCAAAACCTGACCACACTGTATGTTGATACTTGTAACATTAGTTACAATTTGGCTGAATTAAAAAAAACGAATGATAGATTATTAGCAATCCTTTTATTGCCATGGGGCACAGTGGACACACATAATCACCAGAGAGTTCAATGAAAATGTTCCTATTCTCTGTACATTGGAATGTTAAGAAATATTCAAGTCACATTGTCATTGGTTGCTCAAATTACATATTCTCAAGTCACATAGTCTCATTGGTTGATACAATTGTATATTCTCAAAATACTATTTGTTATCAGTAGCTGTCCCTAAAGGTGTTGAGAAATGAGAGGCAATTTCAAAATGGCCACCTTGACACTGACAAAATGTTACTTAACTTAAGCGTATTATTATTTGGTTAGATGAAGGTGACATAAATATGTTACAAATATTATTTTAATTTAGTATATATTAAAACAATATGCTGGATAGTTATCATTATTTTAATGTAATGTTTGTTCTGCAGTTGGACAACCAGAGATCATTATTTGAATATAGTGTATAGTAATGCAATATACCAGCAGGTGATCATTATCTAAATATAATGTAAGTTGAAGCAAGTTTGATCTAATTTTCATTTTCCATATACTTTTTATGTCAAAGCAGTCCATGTGCAGTGATTATCACAGCTAGACAAAGTGTGTTCATGACCACTATTATAATAAATAGAGGTCTGTGTATTCCTTCATTTACAATAAGCACTTTATCACAGTTTTATAACTAGGTCAGCTGTTGAAACTTGTGATTTTTGGTGTTACATCTGAATTTACAAATGTCTCCCATTCAGTGTGTTAGTATTGGCAATTGCTATCATTAAAACTGAAGAAATTATTTTTAAAAACTCCTATATTCTATGTTAAAAAAACACAGAAATAAGGGCTGTGCCTGAGATATACACAAAAATAGTAAACGTAAACAACGACTAGTGTAAAAGTGTAAAATTGATAAGCTATCAATATAATAAAAAATAGTAAAGATAAAAAGTCTTAATAAAAAAATTAGTTAATAGTAAAGGCAAGTGGTCAAAGGGTCACAGCTGAACAATCTTGTCTAGAAGGGTATGCAGGTTTTTCAGAGTCCCTTGATGTAATCCATATATAGCATAAAAAGACAAAAGCGGGAAAGGCTCCAAAAGTGCAATATATCAATATGATCAGAGTGAAGGTAATAAAAATAACAATGGGTTACTCACATTTAGTGGAGCTATAGCCAGCTCCAACGTACATGACGTGCAGTGGTATAATCCCCACTTACAGGATATATTGTATATTAGCTATATTGTTTTAGCTAAGAATATAGAATTGTTTGTAAATAAATAAATAAATACTCAGCAATACCACAGCTATGTCACTGTTGATGAGGTATATGAGGCTCAAAAAACATTTGAGATTTACAAAGCAGAAAGATGACACTTTTCTGGATACTTTTAAAACACTTTAAAAAAAAACAGAACAAACTTCCACCCCCCCTACAAAAAAATAAAACAAAAAAAATATTTAGTTCTGAACTCTTTGATAAATCTCCCCAACTGTGTTCAAAGACAAGGCCAAGTAGAGGAACAATTATAAATTACATTCTTCTCTGCTTCAGTTGAGTGGCATAAAACAAGTTACATAATTGAGTTTGTTAAAATTGTTTGGATTGCAGAATTATTATTATATGAAAGAGAAAGCTCTTACAAGTTATATATGTAGACGCCTGATCTGTTCTCTTGTCTGGTGTGGAAAGCTGGCTAAATATTGGACATTTATGTTACTGAATATAGATACATTGGTGCATTCTAAACTAGAGAACAAGCAATAATTCAATAGACCCACTCAACACCGAGTGATTGTAATGCTAAATATTCTTTATTTATTCATTATGTGGGTTCACAGATTGGCCAGGCCTTGTAGCTTGATGTAATAGGAAAGATGAATACAGGAAGTAGCAGGATTTTGACGGGATAATCTTTTTCTCTATAATATCACCTCTGTCTCTTTAATACCAGCCCTTTCACGTCCCTCACGTTATCCTCAGTGACACATAGACTAGTCTGTGTTTACAGGTCACATTGTGACCTTCAGTGATCCCTGGAGCATGGTATTCGATGTGTTAATTATCTCAATTAACATGTGTTTCTCATCATTCCTATTGTAAAGTAAAGCAGATGGTAAAGATTTTATTATTGTCTGGGGGGGACTCTGGCGTCTATTCACAAGAAGGCCCAGGAGAGTTATCATGAGATGAATACCCATAATAATGTTTGTATTGCAGTATTCTGCAGTGAGATTTTAAAAAGCCAGTTCATCTCAGCTAAAATTCTGGCATAGCGCCCACATTCCGAAATCCGATGTGACAGTCCCCTTTTTCATCCTTCCCGCTATTTGCTGCTGTTCCACTTCTGAAAAGCAAGGCAAACTTTAAGTTCAAGAAGAGTGGAGTAGTAATATGCCAATGCTAGGTATGGGTAAATAAGGACTTTCTGCCTACGCAAGAGTGTCTTCACTTCTCCTTTGTCTTTCCTTAAAGTCCGGTTTGAGCTTTTCTGGTTTCTGAGATTTAGAATTTCTGACAATAGGGGGTATTTTTGCTTCCCTTAGCAAGACATCTTTTGTTTGATTTGAAGCAACTCTTTCCCTGGGGGACCATCATTACTGCGGCTACTTGTCGTTTTGGGATTACTCACCTGCCTTTTTAGTAGAGAGCCGACTTACATGGCTCTCCAAATTGTGAGTTTTTCCTGTTATACATATATCTGAAAATTTTCTTTTATTTGTTGCCCTATGAAGGTTCTGTTATATTTATTTCAGATTATTAAGGAGAAAAATATCCATTGTGTGCGCCAACTTCTCTCTGTTTCTCCATATTTGATGTAAGTGTTTTGGGTGATACAACACTTGTGTAGCTTGAGACGCACTGGGATATACGTTATTATTTAATTTAGAGCGCCATTTATACACCTTTTCTATGTTTGTTATCGTTTGTTGTGCCTACCTCTGTACATTGCCATTGAAATGCATTGTATGACCAGCATACTCCACTGATATTTGGAGGTATGCTTGGTGTGTGAACCTTCTTGATGGAACTTTATAGAGATTTCAAAGTGTGGTCTCAAAAATAACTTTGTGCAGTCACAAATGACCTGGAATTACTTCCAAATACATATTTGTGGTGGAAGTTTAGAGACACCAATCTTACCAACATGGATGGACCTTCACAGTTGACGCACTTGAACAAATCACTTGCAGTGCAAAAAAAATCAGAATATGCAAGTCTGAAGTCTTCATGTACAAGTGGAAGCCCAAACCTCTCATGATCAACCTCCTATCCATGATTTGGTGAACCTAGGCTTCCCGTGGGTTCTCTGTATTTTTCCATGTGTAAAAACATAGAACATTTAGATTAAAAAAGAAAAGTCTTTACAATCTCCATAGAACATGGAAGAAGATCAGATAACTAGTTGCTATTTGACTAACCAACCTGCAATAAGATAAGGAGTCTAACTTACAGGGCTTTATTCACTTTAAATGTGTGTATGTTGATGGTGATCTAAGTAAATTTAATAAAGACTAAACTATTTGAATTCTAATACCAAGATGAATGAAATTACTAGTGGCTGTATACTTTTGAGAACTGGTCTCCCGACTTTCTTTTTATCTTAGTGGGGGACCTAGCCTCATAAATTCTTTATTTGTTCTAATTCTAACGTTATCCAGGTTAACCCCTATTTACCCACCCAGTCCTTATCTGCTCCATGGACTTTTGCCTAACCTATGTAGCTTCTTTCTATCATTGATTACTTACAGGGAAACCATCAACCACCAAGGACTTATCTTTAAATTCTGATAGCTGCATGGTCAAGATCCGCATTTGGATTTAGTGAGGCTTATATTCTTGTTTTAAGTTTGAAACCTATAGGTCATTTAATCAATTAAATATATTTTAGCAAAGGTAAGCTTGAAAGAGAGTATTTTGTTTACAGGTAGACATTTATTAAATAAGGCAATAGTGGCTGTGAATGGTCTAACTTGGCAGAGATGATAACCAGAGGCGAAACGCATCATGCTAATGCTATAGTCAGCCAATACAGGAAGTGAGAAGCAGCTTGCAGGAGAGGACACTGAGAAATGAGATACATGCAACAAATGGGACACATCTTTAAAGAATAGTACAAGACTGGTGTTACTATCCTAATAAGGTGATTTCACCTCAAAGTGGCTGCTTACCTGTGAGGGTTTTAGTTAAAGTTTTACTGAAGCTGACATTCCAATTACCTGATTTGGCTTTATTGGTTGGGGATCCATCGCTCATGAGTACCTGATACACTCAGAACGTGTGAGTGGCACTGTTCCACTCCTCTCCTGTGTGTTGCTACTTGCTAACTCATTTATATTTTCTTTATGTGCCAGTTAGTCTGCACTAAATGTTTTTGCCCTTTCACTGATTATATCATTGTCATTTTAAGTTTACTGCTCTAAAACACTCATATTTGTGTTCAGTGATGTCTCACGAATACAACTGTATGCCCCATGTACAGGTTTTATGGGGTTTTGGAAGGTTACAGGGACAAATAAAGGGATTTCCCATTTCAGTTTGCCAGATTGGTTAGGTGGCCTATGTTGCCTTTGAGACCATATGGCAGCCCAGGAATGAGAATTACTCCCATCAGAGGATATCATTCACAAAAGAAGACAACCCAGGGTATTCAGAATTCGGTAAGTCCAGTCTTTTGAAGTAGCCACTTAGTCATAAATGCTAGACAAAGTTAGTTTTCATATTTTGTTTTGCATTTTTCACACAAAAACTGCACTTTCAATTATGATATCATTAGCATTTAAAGTTTTAGTGTTTTAAAACACTCATATTTGTTTTCAGCCAAGTCTCACAAGTACAACAGTACCCCACATGTACAGGTTTTATGGTGTTATGAAAAGTTACAGAGTTAAATATAGGGCTTGTAAATTAAATTCAATGGACTTTCTGCCTGGGTTGTCAGGCAGGTCCCTTGAATTATAATTAATAAAATTAATGAATTATGTAAATATAGTAGATAAATATAGATGTCGAATATATATATATACATATATATATATATATATATATATATATATACACACACACACACACACACACAAAAGGCCTATTTCTCTCAAATATTGTTCACAAATCTAAATCTGTGTTAGTGGGCACTTCTCCTTTGCCGAGATAATCCATCCACCTCACAGGTGTGGCATATCAAGATGCTGATTAGACAGCATGATTATTGCACAGGTGTGCCTTAGGCTGACCATAATGGAAGGTCACTCTAAAATGTGCAGTTTTACTGTATTGGGGGGGTCCAGGGAGGTCCGGGGCTCCAAAACCAGTCATTATCTAGTGTGATCACCATTTACTTCATGCATTGCAACACATCTCCTACGCATAGAGTTGATCAAGTTGTTGATTGCGGCCTGTGGAATGTTGGTCCACTCCTCTTCAATAGCCATGCGAAGTTGCTGGATATTGGCAGGACCTGGAACACGCTGTTGTACACGCCGATCCAGAGCATCCCAAACATGCTCAATGGGTGACATGTCTGGTGAGTATGCTGGTCATGCAAGAACTGGGATGTTTTCAGCTTCCAGGAATTGTGTACAGATCCTTGCAACATGGGGCCATGCATTATCATGCTGGTGATGGTCATGGATGATGGTCATGGATGAATGGCACAACAATGAGCCTCAGGATCTCATCACGGTATCTCTGGGTATTCAAAAAGCCATCAATAAAACATACGTCCATAACATACGGCTGCCCATACCATAACCCCACCGCCACCATGGGCCACTCAGCCCACAACACTGACATCACCAAACCGCTCACCCACAAAACACCACGTTGTTTGCCATCTGTCTAATCAGCATCTTGATATGACACACTTGTGAGGTGGATGGATTATCTCGGCAAAGGAGAAGTGCTCACTGAAACAGATTTAGACAGATTTGTTGACAATATTTGAGAGAAATAGGCCTTTTGCGTACATAGAAAAAGTCTTAGATCTTAGAGTTCAGCTCATGAAAAATGGGGGCAAAACCAAAAGTGTTGCCTTTATAATTTTGTTAAGTGTATAATACATATTTAATATATTGTTGAATCTGTGTTTAACTTTTAGTTATTTTTCAGACACTGGGCAAACTGCCTGAACACTCAGGCAGCCCCCCTGCAGGCAGTCTCATAGACTGCTTTGCTGCCATGTGATTTGCAATGTCCGGTTCACTAAATGTGGGGTGGCATAGTATGCCCTAACGGCATTAAGGGGTTCATTTAGAATCTTTTATCTCCTGCTCTGTTGATAGCCTACTGTCAGGATCTTACCTGATGTGGAGTCCGGTATGCAGAGATATATGCTCACCCTTGCAAATAAACACAGGCCAGGGTGGTTAGGTAAGAATTCACCTGGCCTGTGAGTCTGTGCACGGGGGCTGTGCAGGATATTGCTCCAAGTCGCAGTACAGGCAAGGACACAAGCAGGAAAATCGTCGAGGGTAAGTCAAAAGTCAGAGGGTGCCAGAAGTCAGGATAAACAAGGGTAAGCCAAAGTCAAAGAATGCCAGCGGTCAGGACACACGATAAGAAAAAAACAAGGTCAGGAGCCAACTGGAGAACACTGGATCACAAATACCAACACAGGAATCAGGGTCAATGAACTGACACTGCCCTCAGAGAGAGGCAGTGTTTTATATCTGGCTGATTAGACATCTGCTTCAGGTGGGCTGAGAAACTGGAGCAGCCACAGGAAAAGTCCAACCTCCTAGTGCTGGAGACAAGACAAGATCGGACTTTAGGCTGATACATGAGCTGAATAATGGCTCAGATCAGCAGATCAGATCAGCAGGCCGAGGACGCAAAGTACCCAAGTTAAAATCCCCTGTTGGGCACTTATGTGGTGACTGCGTCTGGATGTCATGGTGAGAACCGTGACACCTACAAGAGCCTGCAACAGCCTCCTGTGTGTGATTAAAGTTCAATGATCAGAAGCCAGAGATCTTGAGAACTTGTAAATTATTGTTTTTGTGAGTCACAGCCAGGGAAGATGTGGCTATGGCTGCATAAACAAAAACAAAACTGATTTAACTCCAAAATGGCAGAGAATTGATCGGTGAGACAGTTGGGACATGATCTATACATCAAACTGCTTCACTATGTAAAAGATTTATGGGTGCCTATGAAGTTTTGACTCTGGTATAATGATGCCTCACCTCTTTTAGACTGTCACTTCTTCACCTGTCTCAATTGTAAAAGCCATTGTTAACCACTTGTATAGGGTGAGGTTGTTCAGCTCTTCATTATCTGCTACTCTGTTAGTATTATTGGTATTATTATATATAGTTACACCAAATTGTTCAAGTTACTGTTGATTTCACTATCTGGTTATAACAGATTCAGAGGCTGAATTCCTTTTAATGCCATATAGTTATTCACGAAACCTGGCATTGTTGTTGGGAATTGACACGGGAACAGATACAATTGAAATAGATAAAGAGGAAAGATCAGATCAGAAAATTTACTGCAGCTTATCAATAACCAACCATTTTCCTTTTAGTGAATAGCCTTGATACCATCCTGAAAGCATCCCGTTTAGTTTTCATTTTAGTTTCTTTTTTCTTTTTTTTAAATTATGAATTCTTTTTTTCTTTTCGTTTTTATTAGATTTTTTGTTTTTTTTTCGTGCCCGTTTTATTTCTACTCTGTTATTTGCAGACATGCTTTTAGGGGATTCCAGCCACGGATTATATAACAGTTTATTTATGGGAAGAGTCGATTTGTTTGGATGCAGTCGGCGAAGGTGCAGCTTCTAACTGAGAATAATCATTTGCAGTATGTTTTCTATAAAACGTCTAGACATGATTATCAAATTCTTTGCAAGTGCGCCGCCCACAGAAACCTATCGCTTACAGTACATGACCCAGTTCTCGGATATTGTTTAAAGCAAACGATTATTTGGAAATATCAGCAGATAGTTTAAATGACTTTGCTGGCAAAACACAAGAACTGTCCTGTGTGCTAAGTTTGCAAAAAAATAAGGTTGTCTCTGTCCTTTCATAAGAAGCTCACTGTTCGCCTCTGCTGAAGGGGGGAGGAATTTCGCCAGCAGTTTGTTGAAACTGTTTCATGCCATTAGGTGTACTGTAAACTATCCTGGGCTAAATTCTTTGCTTGACAATGACTCTCTGAATTTGAGATGCTTTTTTACTTTTATAGAGGGAAAAAGGGACAGGAGCATAGTACAGAGAACGTATCGTGGTAGAATCAAATCGGGCTTTAATGCTCTCCTTGGGACAAGGCTTGAGGCAGTCTTCTTGAAGGCTATCAGCATTGAAGAGGTAAGTGAATACTACCAGAATGAATAAAACCAAAATTAGGAGACACGACGATTGTATGACCTAAAATTAAATGGTTCAGCACCCAAACCTGATTTTAGTGACCTGCACTTTTTTATTGCGTGGCTGTGCGCGTGTGTGTGTGTGTCTGTGTGTTTTCAGGGTTTGTTCCCTTCAATTGGAAATGCAGATGTAAGATTAGTAAATTGCAAATTTTAGTTAAAAATAACTGAGCTATAGAAATTGCTGGTTTGGGAGATTTTCCCAAATCAGCAGTTTTATCCGGTGTTTTGCAATATCCTTGTCATCTATACACAATTGCTAGTTTAACGATTAAACCCTTTGTTTTATTGTGTCTAAACTGGGTGCTGACTGTAACTGACCTACACTCATACTACATATCCTTGTATGTATGTAAATTTGTTTCTGTGTAACTGATTTCTGACTCTTTCCGAGTATCTTTCTTCAAACCTGTACATCTGTTCTGTACATACTCCTTTATCTGTTTACTAGTAGGTATGTTCGTGTCTATGTACCTGTAAGTCTGTAGATGTGCGCTTGTTTCTCTGACTATGTACTTGTGAGTCTGGGTGTGAGTGATTATGTGACAGCATATATACCTGTGTGTCTCTTTATGTGTGATTGAGTGTTTGTGTATGTACTTTTATACCTGTGTAAGTGTGATTGTTTGTTTGTCAATACCTATGTGTCTGTATATGAGTGTATGCCTGCATATGCGTGACTATTTCTGTATTCTTCTGACAAAATCTGAATGTAACTTTTCAGGCACTTTTGGACTGTTTCTCAGTATGTGTGTATCTATAGTTGTGTGTCTCCGTATGTCTATTATGCCTGTGTTTTATTAATTATGTCTGTGAGTTTGTATGTTTGTGTGTACATATTTTTTATTTACTTTCATCATGTTAGAATGATCAACTTGCTATTCAACTGTGAAAACAGAGTGTACACATGTAATAAAATGTTCATTTAAACACATTAATGTGAAAATGTAAAAGGTCCTTGCTTACTTGGCAGGGGGAACAAAATATAGTTTGACAAACTCATTTTTCTTTACCAATGCCTTTGTTATATAAAGCAAAGAATGCATTGCTACACATTGCTCAGTACACCAAAGACCTTTTGTCAATTAGCTGTCTGCCAATTTAGGGGTCTCTTAAATCATCCATGATCTCTCCATCTTTTCTACTGCCCTTCCATCCTGGTGCCCCCCAGTCCCATTGCTCTACCCCCCTGGCATTTGTCTATTTGATTTCCCACTGGCCTTTCTTCCTCCATTGTTCTCTCTCCTTTATCATTGTTTACCCCTTTTTTCCCATTGCTTTGCAATCTTTCAGTTGCTGCCTCTCATTTAACATTGTGTGCTCCCCTTTATCTCATTGAGGGATCCTAGTTGATGACATTCAGCCAGTTTCCGAGCTAAGGGGAATTTCTCCAGGTACAGGGAGTACCTTCTGGATACCACAATTTTACAGACCCTTATATAGCTTTCACTGGATGACCAGCCCTTTTGGTTTAAACCTACTTTTTCATGAGACCATCTCTCATTGACTTGGACTGCCCACTTCTTGTACTCGAAAAAGACGATTGGGGAACTTACAGAGGTTCATAGTCAAGGTTAATGGCGCAAAGAGGACTACCTCTTCCCTCTTCTTCACCTTCTGTTAGAGGAGGGTGTATAAGAAGAATCCCTGAATCCTTTTTGAGATGAATGTGATTCTATGAAGTGTATTATCCCGAGTGGATGGGGTGGAGGGTACTGAGAGTATTATTTGCAATGAAACATGCCCAGACTGAGTACTTGGCGCCAACTAAGGGAAATAATAAACCATACTTTTCCAAGTCAGCCCTATGATTGCTACTGATCATAAACGTGTTCATGATACTCCCGGTTCTAGAGTAACTAGAATGGTGCAATTATGATTATTTACATATTATGAATGTAAAACAAATCACAATCCCCTAGCTCAAGTTTATATCATTCACATGTAACATTGTCCTTATTGTGTGGACACAATTATTAAAGGGACACTATAGTCACCAGAAAACCTACAGCTTATTGAATTTGTTCTGGTGAGTAGAATCATTACATTCAGGCCTTTTTGCTGTAAATACTGTCTTTTCAGAGAAAATGCAGTGTTTACATTACAGCCTAGTGATAACTTTGTTGGCCACTCCTCAGATGGCTGTTAGAGATCCTTCCTGGGTCATGGCTGCCTAAAATGCATCCAAACATTCAGTATCTCCTCCCTCTGCATGCAGACACTGAACTTTCCTAATAGAGATTCATTGATTCAATTCATCTCTATGAGGAGATGCTGATTGGCCAGGGCTCTGTTTGAATCATGCTGGCTCTGCCCCTGATCTGCCTCCTTGTCAGTCCCAGCCAATCCTATGGGGAAGCATTGTGATTGGATCAGGCTACCACTTCTGATGATGTCAGCAGACTGCTTGTTTTTCTGAGACAAACAGCATGCAGATCTACAGCTTCAGGCTTGAATTCAGTAAGATATTGCTATGTTTATGGAGGCATGAGGGGCCCAGGGGGGCTAGATGGTGGTTTTAACCCTATAGGGTCAGAAATACATGTTTGTGTTCCTGACCGTATAGTGATCCTTTAATGCAAACTACCAATAAATATGCCAACATAGAGTGATTAATTAAAGCATGAGTTTTACAAACAAGTATAACCACTGATGAGGTCAATATATGGGAAACTAAATCAGAGCCTAATCCAGCCAGTTGTCAGATGAAGGAAAATACCCAGTCGAGAAACCGTCAGCAGCAGACCTGTTCTGTCCCATGCCACCCATTAAACACCCATTCAGTACAAAGAATTTGTGAAAGAAGCAAAATTATACTAAATGTCTGGAGCTAAGCAAAGTACCCAGTGACTAAATAATGGCATAAAAAATAAACATCAATGTTAATGAATAAAACTCCCTTGGGGACACTCCAGACCCGTAAAGCACTTCAGCTAGATGACTAGGTGTCCTCTTATTTAATTTTACAAAAAGTGCTAATTTTAATAGAAATTTAGAAAATATACTTTTCTAACCTTATTACACACTGATTGGCTGTCAATCAGACAATAGGTTCTGTTACATCCTGGTTTGTTTAGCTCAATGAAGCTAAACTCAAGAGGCAGGAAATTGCCCAGAGTGCCTGCCTTGCAAAGACTTCTCTTTGAGATAGGTTGGGAAGTCTGTGATTGGAGAGCCACAGAAAGTCTGGGTGGGGATAAAAGGGGAGGGCTTGCAAAGGCTGCAGACAAGAGAGCTGTTTTTTGATATACTATCAATGAAAACATGCATAATAAATGCATGCATGTTTTCATTGAGGGTATATCTACTCAATAATTATTTATTTTATTAAATGTATTTTATTTGTGTAGTGGATTGTCCCTTTAATAGCTAAAAAATGCCTAGCTGTTCACCCATTGGGAGATATCACTGTTGGTGCTATTACAGATGACACTGAGCAATCCTTACAGGAAGGAAGCTTGACCATTGATGCACTGTAATATGATGGCTTTCAAAGGCTCTATTGCCACAAACTGGAAAACATCTAAGGTTGGTTTATGGCCACAAATTAAAGAACGGGTCAAATATCAGTGTAAAATGGAAAGCGAAATTGCCTCTAATTTTTGTGTCAATCAAGAAAAATGTTGCATATGGGATAATTGGATAACGGTCTTAGATGCGAAGTCATAAATGGGTTGAGTCATTGTTGAGAGCTGAGACCCAGAGCAGAATTTAGTTCAATTTATAAAGGTCCTCTCCCCCCATCTTTACACGGCCCAGCCTTTTTATATTGCCCTAAGGTAATTTAGGTACTGTAACTATCTTCACATTGTATGTATTTATGTATGTCTAAAATATGCATGTAAGTTTGATATATCTTATGACGATAATGAATAATGTATTTCTATATGCCTTGAAAATCAATAAAAATAAAAAAAAAAAAAAAAAATAGGAAAGCTATAAAACAGCCAATCACAATGCTGGCAAGGCCCATTCAGAACCATACCAGGAATATAAATGCTTATGATTCTCCTTCTACTGGACTCAACAGTTTAGTTTTGTTTTTTCTTCACAATATATGTATTTATTTTATTGTGCTGCAGACTTTAGGGATTTTTACTTCAATGGGCAGAAAATTAGCATTTCAATGGTTCTCATTACAACATTGACTATAATAAATATAGAAATAAAATTTCAGGATCTTTTATTATTTGTATATTTGTAAATGTGATTGGATTGTTCTATGCTATATACAAACTTGGTTAACGTGAGTGTGGGAAGGGATATTTTTAACTTTGAGGTTTAGGTTTCATAATTGATTTGCTGATGGGAAATTGTGGACTCCTGGCCACACAGACACATTTGGGACATGCCCTTTTGTGCCTTAGGTATCAGGCGGGCTTGTGGGAACCCAAGATCATCATACAAACCAAACGAGGTGTTTCTTCTCATTGGAGTATAGGAGGTAAAATAAAACCAGCAGGTGTACACAGGACTCTCAAAAAGATTCAAGTCATGCATTTTAGGACCATCTCCCTCTTATTTGGAATAATTTCTGATGCAGCACACTATAAAGACACTAACATTTATACCTGTTCAGGGTTAAGTCATACCTTCTGCCTAGGGAGTTGGGTCATTTATGATACAACTTGCATCAATTTTGATGTGGCTTACCCCAAAAGTTAGTCACACTTTTTGTGGCATCCTTGGTGACATGAAACTAACATCTATCCATCCATGTAACTTCTGGCACATGGGAACGATGAGGACCAATGATGTTAAGCTTTAAGCTATTTAAACCCCTCCTGCCAATGCCTGGGTGCCCTCTTGAAGCTCTTGCTTACCCAATAGTGCGTTTCCATGCTATTGTGATTATTTGGTTATGACCTTGGCTTGTTAACTGATTATCTCTGTGCTTCTAACCTTTTGGCTTGTTTTCCTGTTTATCCTGTTTACTCCTGGCCTTGACCTTGTTCTGTGACTATTCTCTCGGTTATGTCTGGCCTTTCTAAGGACACGTAATACCGGATGTCCTTGCTGTCTGGACCTGTTACTTTGTGGCTTGAGTGTTCGAGTCCTTAGCTTCCATCACCATTCCACTTGAAAATAAACCCAATAATTCACAAAGAAAGGAGAAAAGCCATGGAGGCCTTTATAGCCTAATTTTTCATGCTACATCAGTTTGGCGGGATATTAATTTTAAATTATATTTTTTGGTTTATATGCATATCATTATCAACAGTCCATACATCCCACAAAGTCCCATATTTCCATCAGGATTGCAGTTGCCCAATAATTCCTTAGTTACATTAATTTTCTTCTCATTTTTTTTAGGCATTTATTAATACGAGAAAATGATGTGTACAACAAGCCCAGTCGCCCGAGGACCTGGGCTCTCGGACATGCATCAATACAGTCAATGGTTGGCCATTAGACACGAGGCAGATTTGTTGCCCATGAAGGAGGACATTGCTCTTTGGTTAACCAATATCCTTGGTAAGTGAATCCTACTTTTCCATCCTCACAGTTCTCAAATCCATCCGATACTGATAAAGAAAATAAGAAAATTCTCAGAATGCAAGGAAGTATGCTTTAAAGGACAAAGGTCATCACATGTTTACTTGTCCTTTTCTAAAGTGTATTACATTTATTGTAATGTATAATAAAGGAACACTATAGGGTTGGGAACACAAACATGTATTCCTGACCTTATAGTGTTAAAAACACCATCAAGTCATCCCCTTCCTCCCCACTTGTACCCCTAAAAATAGAATGTAAAAACGTTTATTCCAATCTGTTCCTGCTGGCTCTATCCCTGATCTGCCTGCTTGGCTGACATCATCAGAAGTTTTGATCTCAGCCAATCACAATGCTTTCCTATAGGATTGGCTGAATCAATGCATCTTTATGAGGACAGTTCACTTCCTAGTGGATACACTAAATATCAGCACGGCCCAAGCAAGCATCTCTAGTAGCCATATGAGGAGTGGCCATTGGAGGTGTCCCTAGACTGTAATTTTTTTTTTCCTTGAAAAAACAGTGTTTACTGCAAAAGGCTTGAAGGGAATGATTATACTCACCAGAATGAATACAATAAGCTGTGGTTGTCCTGGTGACTATAGTGTCCCTTTAATTTTTATTTTTTTTAAATTTCATTTATTTATCTGTCCGAGCAGCCATGTTGATTCAGACTCTATTGTTTTCTGACGAACTGCTGTTCAACCTAGCTTGCTATAAAAAAAATAATAAGTTGCATTAAATGTAATCACCTTTTAAAAAAATAAGTAGTGAAAATTTGATGACATTTGTTTAAGCCTGACAAAGCTGTAGAATGTACATAAATGGATCTGTGTTTCTCAGATTGCCCAGTAGGGGGCGGATGGAAGGAATTCAATGGAGGTGCATTGCCTTAGCCCAAGTAAGGCAATAAAGGCAGATTTTGGTGATTCCAAAGGGTGGATTATTGGTGGAGATGGTATGTAGAGTGGGGGAGAATTTGTGGTGTGGTGCAGGCGAACGTACATGAGCATAGCATGGCTATAAATAGTAACTGATCTCTCTTTAAACCATTGCAGATTTCTGAGTCTCCAATGGATAAAGCGATGCATTATCTCGTCTCACTAACTGGAAAATTGCATGTTTATTTTTTTTCTGGTTGTAGAATGGGTTTATTGTTTCCTTGTTTCATTTTCAATCATGGGACTAATGCAGTAAATTCTCTTCTGATGGTTAAATAGTAATAGTAAGAGAAATAGACTTTGTGTGTCAGAACCAATGCAGCCCGCTGTAGTGGTTATGATGCCAGGAGTTCACTGGCCCCATTTTCCTATAATAAAGCAAAGGGTATTGCAATAGTTTGCCACTTTAGCTGGTCCAATCATCCGGCTGGTCTCCCTTAAGGCTATTTAGGTAATTTTAGGGGCCATCAATTGACTGCTCTCAGGTAATGATTGAAAGTTTGTGCATAGGTATATGCACAGAATTGACATTAGCCTGTAACTTGTGTTCCGGGCTGGCTGATGGTATTCCAGTGATGCTACCAGGGGTGGAGTTCCACCTCCACTAGCAGCAGAGGGGTTAATTTCCAAATGTGCAGAGTGTATTTCTCAGTGAAATGCTGCATTTACAGACTCCAGGCACCATGTCCACTTCAAACCACTGAAATGGTCATGGTGCTTGAAGTAACCCTTTAGTGCCATCCTTGAATGTTTAATTTGGTTCCCTATAGTACATTTAGGAATACCCCAGTAAAATGTCAGCCCTAACCTGAGTTTTAGATATACATAGTCATACCACCTACATCTAGAAATTAAAGGACAACAGTCAGTTCTCTGGAATTTATATATTAAAAACTCACCTATAACGCATGCTAATCTTTTTTCTATGTGATGCCTAGGTTTTTGATTCTTTTATTTGCATGAATGATTTAGCAATTGATTTCACAACCCAGTTCAGTCCTGGCACAGCCAAGGCACGCAATGCATTGAAGGAGGAGAAACGGAAGCAGTGGAGGGGGGCGGTGGGGGGGTTAATCAAAGTCTCACTGAATAATATGCACCTTTTTGGTATTTTTTTTCCCCAATATTTATTACGTGATTATTTATTATTTCCAACTATTCTGTAATTTTTTTGCTTTGCCTTTGTATAGATCATTTCATTTCTTAATACCAACACTGTTCTTGCACCAGAAAAGAATTATATATTGGAAAGAATTAAAAAAACAAAAAAAGAGAGAGAGAGAGAGAGAGAATTATATATTGGCATTTTTTATACCACTTTCATTTTGGTCTACATAGTGAAGTAGATTATTCACACGGTACTCTCAATTAATGGGACTTAAAGGACCACTATAGGCACCCAGACCACTTCAGCTTAATGAAGTGGTCTGGGTGCCAGGTCCATCTAGGATTAACCCTTTCTTCTATAAACATAGCAGTTTCAGAGAAACTGCTATGTTTACAAATGGGTTAATCCAGCCTCTAGTGACTGTCTCATTGACAGCCGCTAGAGTCGCTTCCGCGCTTCTCACTGAGATTTTCAGCCCGGCAGACCCAGGCAGACCCAGGGGGTGTGGGGGACTATAGTGGTCCTTTAATTATGAAGGTGTAAAAATCTGTCGGAATCTATAAAGTTAGAGGGCACTTTTTAGACTACTTTTAGAACACTAGTAAATAGAAACAGACATCAAAAAAATATGTTTTTCATAACACTTTGGTAAATCTTCCTCTTTTCATCTGCTTCTCCTCCCTCTATGCTAACTTACAGGAGCAACTAGTTCTATATTCAAAAAAAAACTTCAATCACTGTCAGTTGTATCCAGCCACCAGTGAATTTACATTGTTTCAACCATATGTGCTGGGGAGCTCAGGCAAATACTATGCACATCCTCCAAAGACAGTTAGGGCTACCAAGCAATTCCACTCATCAGATCTAATGATTGGAACTGCAGCTGGGGGCTCATCTAGCCTATACATAATCAGGGAGATCCCCTCTGCTGCTTGCCTATGATGATCCAGTAGCAGTAACACCAGAATCTTAAAGATTTATTATGTATTTATTTATATATTTATTTATTTAATGCATATTTTTAAATAATAATTATAATCGGTATTATACAATAAAAAAAAAATGGACACTTCCAGCAGGGACTATCTCTTTAAATATTGCATTTACCAATTCTTTAGATTTATATATGTCTGTATTGAAGAGTTTGCAGAACTGTGTTGTTGTTGTCGATAAAATGTGTTATGTGTGTTCTGGGTTTTTTAGGCGCTGGAAACATGCGCCTCGCTTTGTGCACAAACGTACTCTTTTTTTGTTCATCGTTACTAATCTTTAAGGTCCTTAATGCATTTTCCATTTAATTGAAAAAAAAAAGACTGGTTTTTGTGCAGCCCTGAGCATTTGCTTCATTTGAATCAATATTACTGAACTGTAAAACATGTCAGGGGCTCTGTTTTAGCAAAGAAATACCACCTTTCGCAGCCATAAAATATGGCAAATTGAAAGCTGACACCTAATATATTTTTCATTGGATGCAGATGTTCACCGTACTACAGTCATTCATTCTTAAAGTGTTATTGGTTGGGGGGTGCAGGGTACAAGGAGCAGAGTTAAACTGGCAGACAGTAAGAAAACTATATGTGTATATTTATATATATATATATATATATATATATATATATATATATATAGAGAGAGAGAGATAGAGAGAGAGAGAGAGAGAGAGAGAGAGAGAGAGAGAGAGAGAGAGAGAGAGAGAGAGAGAGAGAGAGAGAGAGAGAGAGAGAGAAGGAGAGAGAGAGAGAGAGAGAGAGAGAGAGAGATGTGTGCAGAGGAGAAATGATTCTGCTATACGTGGTAAAGAGAAGAAATTCTATGCATATAATAAAAATGTTGCAAGTATAACAGCATATATTTCATAGCAAACACACACACAAAAATCCAGTTTAGTTTTTTTTTATATTGTTGTTTAAATATTTACGTGTTGTAGGTTGTTAGAGGAGTGCAGGTACGTAAGGGGTTAAGAGGTAGGAACGAAGTGCTAGAATAGAGTAGGAAGCTCAGTTTTCAGGGTATCGCTGTTACAATGCTCAGTTCAGGATATGATGGAAATATCTTTTATTTTTCTCCAGAGAGCAATATTACGAATTCACAATATATATGTATTTATCACATGTTCAGAGCCGGTCACCCGGCCCATTCAGTTGTGCACGGTTGAAAAGAAAATAGGCAGCTTAATGTACATTAGCTTATTGCACGGTGAGAAAACTGGCTGAACCATCTTCCCCAAAAATAATGTTGGGACACACAAATTTAATCTGAATGTAGCTGGGTATTAAATATTGACTGCACGAGTAACTGAGCTGTTACAAGGTTTGAAAGTGTCTTCCATAAACAATCTAGCAACAAAGGAAGTCACCTAGGAAGCCCCCTATTTCCATACTCCTGTGTGATCGGGTATGAGTTAATCCAGGAGATATATATCAATACCTACCTCCATAAACCATCTAGTAACAAAGGAAGTCACCTAGGAAGCCCACTATTTCCATACTCGTTTGATCAGGTATGAGTTAATCCAGGAGATATATATCGATACCTACCTCCATAAACCATCTAGTAACAAAGGAAGTCACCTAGGAAGCCCCCTATTTCCATACTCCTGTGTGATCGGGTATGAGTTAATCCAGTAGATATATATCGATACCTACCTCCATAAACCATCTATTAACACAGGAAGTCACCTAGGAATCCCCTATTTCCATACTCCTGTGTGATTGGGTATGAGTTGATCCAGGAGATATATATCGATACCTACCTCTCTTGCATCCCTTGCACTGAAGGATGTGGGTATAATACATGTGGGAGCCACTGGACCCCCTATCAACCAGGTGGGACATGCTCTATGGCATGGCTTAAAATTTCACGTCTTGCATTGCTATCCCGGCCTTAAAAGTTACTCCATATATTGTAAAAAATGCTAATTACTGTTGATAGGGAACATTATATGTGCCATATTTAACTCCCAAGTGCCTCTCAAGTGAAAGCCACATCAACTGCCATGCAGTGATTCAGTTATTGTTTTATCGGACTTTGACGTGGTCCAGCCTCTAGTTCAACCATAAGTCAGAAATAGATACAATGTCCCTTAATCAAAAATGTATACTGTTCCAAATCTTTAAAAAACATTCTTCTTTTATTTCACTTAATTAAAAAATGTAAATGTTCACACAATAAAAACAGTATACCGGCTTAAAGCTGTACCAACAGTGATGTCAACAGTGGCATCAACCGCTGGTGGTCCAGTGGCCATGGGGCAGGTAAAGGTGAGATTTATTTACCTGAACCTGTACCTTACGGTGCGGCCATCTTCCTCCAGCTGATCCTCTAGAGCTCCTGGCACTGAGCCGACGTCAATGCTGTAGATTCTCACACATGCGCTAGAGTGCAACATTGAGGACTATGGACCTCATAGACGGCGGGATCCTCCATAGACAGAACCAATTCCCTGCAGCCATCATTGATGATGGCTGTCAGGATTGACTTTGTAGCTCCAACCAATGAAAGTCAGACATAGGGTATACATAGAGACAAAATAGTCCCTACTTTGTCTCTGTATACCTCTTGACTGGGTTGAAATTTCAGTGAGTGAGATAATTGATGGGGGAAAAAAGATGATTGATGGCTAGGGGACAGTCACTAAATGCTGATCTTAGTACACATCAAGTGAGAAGTGAGCAATGGAGGGGAAAAAAGGAAGGAGAAGTAAAACAATCTACATTTCTATATTATATGTTTAATAAATATATATAGATTTACTATTCTTACTGCTCGTTCGGTTTTTCATTCTATTGGTTACTTTTGACCAAATGGCAGTAACATGCCCCTATTAGTGCAAAATACATAATATTATATAATCCATATGCAGGTATATTGCAGCACACTGATTGGCCAATTTTCATACCCTTTTTTGTTTATCTGATTGGGTTCTCGGTGTCGAGTTGACATATGGCTGAAATCCCATTGTTCTGATGATAGTTCAGCCGAGACAAATTTTCTCACCACTCACAAAGCTTGTGTTTACTTTTCCCCTACATTTTGAAAACATATTTGTGAGGTGTGTAAAAAAAAATTAAATGCAGAAATCCCTTTATCCATCAAAGGGGTACCTCTATCTTAGCTACTCGTCAATCATTGTTATTCGGCCTGTGCTTTGCTCCTGGCAGCCATTCAATATAGAGAGAGTATACAGAGAGGAGGAGAAATTAAACATTGTTTCTATTTTCACCTGTTCATTTGCAATTTATGCCATGACTTTGCCTGGATTGAACTAGATTGTGATGTCATTTTCTAAATCTTAATATAATAATTATGAGATAATATAAAATAAAAAGCAAATGAAGAATCACATGGAAAATGGTTAACACAAGTTATAGACGATTGTGAATATTTGATTCAATGGGGTAATTTGCAGAGAAATGTCAGTTCCCTTTTAAGCTCATTCAAACTCCATTGAAATGTACTTATCACTGTCACTAAGCTAATTGTTACATCAGTAGAAATGAAAAAAAAACAATTGTTTGGGAGGTGATAATATAAAGAGCTAGGTATTCTCGTGTAATTGAAATATCTCTAAAAGGATTATGGTAAACTGCAAAGTATCAATATCTCACAACTAAGCATCTGACAGAATCCAGATATTATCAGTATTGATCGGAACCGTCTGTATAAAATGTCATCAACAGCTTCCAGTGATTTATAACATTGAAAAGAAGAGTGACAATGAACAAAACCGAGCTCTGTTAGATCTTTTACCCAGTCAAACACAGTTAGGAAACATGAAAATAGCAGGTTCTATGCTTCTCTATGGTATTATCTAATAGACGACACTATTAATGATGTTTATTTACTAAATACTGAATTTTCGTGGATTGCAAAATAAAGGCTAAAATTTATTCTAAAAGCTATATTTATAGCTGTGTTGGAGTATTTTTCCAAATCAGTACTTTTTGCCTAAATTTTACAATTTGGTTTTCATGTAACTATTCTCTAATTATTAGCAAAACTCCTCTCCTGATGCCTAAACCTGTATTACTAAAGCTCTAATGTCCCTATTAAAATATAGGTTTCCCCTCCCCTTTGTGATCAAAATGAATATAATATTTGATTTATTTACCTATTTACCTTTTCCGCTTCTGGCTTTTCCACATCTTGTGACATCATGGAAGAGGCAGGCTCTCCACCAGCGTTATCCAATATCGAGCACGGTGCACACATTTAAACTTCCCCATAGAAAAGTATTGAATCAATGCATTAACAAGGGAGTTTCTGCATCACATGATTGAGTTTTACTGACAAACACTAGAGGAAGATTTATTTAACCCTGCATTGTAAAGAGTTTCTAAAAAACTGCAAGGTTAAAGCAAAAAGACCACTGCCCCTAGACCACGTCATTGAGATGAATTGGCATGGGTGACTTTAGTGGTTCTTTAAGGTTCTTAGAATATCCTGTACTAAAAGTAAATTGACAATCTACATGAAATTATAGAGTCCAAATAATCACAAAGTAAATGCTGATTATTCCAAGTAATTCAATCTCTAAAACGGTAAGCACTATAGAATGACATATAATACAGTTCTGTACAGAGTGCTTATAAACTCACAGTTACAGTATCTATACCAGGACGAAGTCACTCATTTCATTAAACACTCTAAGCTTCCAATACAACTGTTCAGCATACCAAATTACTGGAAGATAATGGGAGTAATCAAAATGCTGGATCTTTAAAATTGCACGTACGATGATATAAATGAATTAGAAATGCATAGAATTGACATTGGGTTGGCATTACACCTCTCGGTGATGTTGATACATCCTTACTGGCTCAAATTACATAATGTAGTTTAGAATATGATGTGAGTTTGTGTCTACAAATGAGGTTTAGAATATGATGTGAGTTGGTGTCTACGGATGGTGTTTAGAATAGGATGTGAGTTGGTGTCTATGGATGGTGTTTAGAGTATGATGTGAGTTGGTGTCTACGGATGGTGTTTAGAATATGATGCGAGTTGGTGTCTACAAATGAGGTTTAGAATATGATGGGAGTTTGTGTCTCCGAATGCGGTTTAGAATATGATGTGAGTCGGTGTCTATGGAGGGGTTTGCTGTGATAGGTATGTTTTCATTTACATTACTTCACAGAGGTGCTGCTCTTCCCTTCTTTGGCTGCTAGAATACAGCCCTGTACACAATAAGCCCTATGGCTCCTGTACAATAAGAGAAGGGGAAAGGGACAGCTTTTACAGTCCTTGTGTCTGGTGCACAGGAACTCAATAGAGTTCTGTTGGAAAAATTTACTTCTCTACCTATTGAACATCAGCACTGGAGTAAGGGTTTATTGCCTAGATTCCTCTTTGCAAAATGTAATTTTTCTTGTGAATACACAGGGTCATAAAAAAAATAAGGCAGGATTAAGTAGGAATAAACTATGTATCTACATATTTCAGTTGCAGATATTGTTGGTATGTTTGAATTAACGCTTGGATGTAATTAAAAAGGTGCATATTTTCTATTAGTGATCTTTCTGCATCTTTTCTGGACTCCTGGACAGTAAGGATTGGAGTGATTTATAAGATTAGCAATACATGACCGATACAGTTGCTGGTTATTGGGTGGGTTTTGATTAATTTACTTCCTATTTGTATGCATTATATTTTATTATATCTGTGTATTTCTTTATATATGTGGAGGTAGAGTTGTGACTTCACGCTATCTATAGCAAGAGGTTTATTTATTTTTAGTATTGTTATTATTTAAGGTTTCGTCACTAAATAGTGAATTGTAGCAAAATACAGGCTAAAACATTTACAGGGAATCTTTAGTGCCAAGAAAACAAAGTTGTTTTGCTGGCACTACAGCTCCCTATAGAGCCCTCCACAGTTGAGGCCACACCATCCATGTGTGGTTAAAAACACCTTCTGTAACTTACCTGATGTCAGTCCCTCAACGCTGGTTCCTGCTCCGCCTCCACTTCTCCCCCTCCACCTAGAAGTCCCTCTATCGGCTGTAATCAAAACCTGCAATAATTACAATTGCAGGTTTAAGGGGCCTGGGACACTGTACCCAGACCACTTTCATGAGCCGAAGTGGTCTGGTGCCTATAGTGTCCATTTAAGCAGTAACTGAGAATTTTTTTAGCTTAGCTATTTTGGCCTGATGTTTGCAATTAGATTTTCAATTTGAACCAATTCACTGTTTAATGAACAAACAGAAGTTCCACGAAGCCCTGTAACATGGGTTAATTAATGGACAATATAATTTAACTCTATAGTAAAAAAAAAGAAAAAGCCACACACACAAACTCTAGTCTAATACTGCAAGTATTATGTGTAATCATTTATTGAATGAATACGTTTACAGTGAGGGAAAAAGGTATTTGATCCCCTGCTGATTTTGAACGTGTGCCCACTGACAAAGAAATGATCAGTCAGTCTATAATTTTAATGGTAGGTGTATTTTAACAGTGAGGGCAGAATAACAAAAAATAAATAAAAAAAATCCAGAAAAACCCATGTCAAAAAAGTTATAAATCAGCAAGATTTCTGTCTCCCATGTGTCTTTTATACAGGTAACGAGCTGAGATTAGAAGCACTAACTTAAAGGGAGTGCTCCTAATCTCAGCTTGTTACCTGTATAAAAGACACCTGTCCATAGAAGCAATCAATCAGATTCCAAACTCTCCACCATGGCCAAGACCAAAGAGCTGTCCAAGGATGTCAGGGACAAGATTGTAGACCTACACAAGGCTGGAATGGGCTACAAAACCATCGCCAAGCAGCTTGGTGAGATTATTCGCAAATGGAAGAAACACAAAATAACTGTCAGTCTCCCTCCGTCTGGTGCTCCATGCAAGATCTCACTTTGTGGAGTTTCAATGATCATGAGAACGGTGAGGAATCAGCCCAGAACTACACAGGAGGATCTTGTTAATGGCCTCAAGGCAGCTGGGACCATAGTCACCAAGAAAACAATTGGTAACACACTACGCCGTGAAGAACTGAAATCCTGCAGCTCCCACAAGGTCCCCCTGCTCAAGAAAGCACATGTACAGACCCGTCTGAAGTTTGCCAATGAACATCTGAATGATTCAGAGGAGAACTGGGTGAGAGTGTTGTGGTCAGATGAGACCAAAATCGAGTTCTTTGGCATCAACTCAACTCGCCATGTTTGGAGGAGGAGGAATGCTGTCTATGATCCCAAGAACAAAATCCCCACCGTCAAACATGGAGGTGGAAACATTATGCTTTGGGGGTGTTTTTCTGCTAAGGTGACAGGACAACTGCACCGCATCAAAGGGACAATGGACAGGGCCATGTACCTTCAAATCTTGGGTAAGAACCTCCTTCCCTCAGCTAGGGCGTTGAAAATGGGTCCTGAATGGGTATTCCAGCATGACAATGACCCAAAACACACAACCAAGGAAATAAAGGAGTGGCTCAAGAAGAAACACATTAAGGTCTGGAGTGGCCTAGCCAGTCTCCAGACCTTAATCCCATAGAAAATATATGGAGAGAGCTGAAGTTTGCCAAATGTCAGCCTCAAAACCTTAATGACTTGGAGAGGATCTTCAAAGAGGAGTGGGACAAAATCCCTCCTGAGTTGTGTGCAAACCTGGTGGCAAATTACAAGAAACGTCTGACCTCTGTCATTGTCAACCAGGTACCAAGTACTAAGTCAAAGGGGTCAAATACTTATTTTCACTCATTGACATGCAAATCAATTTATACGTTTTTTGACATGCGTTTTTCTGTATTTTTTTGTTTTGTTTTCCTGTCTTTCACTGTAAAAATACACGTACCAATAAAATTAAACACTGATCATTTCTTTGTCAGGGGGGAAAAGTTCAAAATCAGCAGGGTATCAAATACTTTTTTCCCTCACTGTATATCTTATGTTGAAGACGCTATTCACTGTATTTCCCTGTACAAATCTTTTTTTATTTCTCCGGCAGGAAAGGAGATCACTGCAGAGACATTCATGGAGAAGCTGGATAATGGAGCACTGCTTTGCCAACTAGCAGAATCTCTGCAGGATAAATTTAGGGAAAAAAACTCTGATATTAGGAATCCAGACAAGGTGAGCTGGGGCACTGTCTGCCAAGAGACTTACTTCCAGTAATTACATACTGCTGAACTGAAGACGAAACACACTGAGCGATTGCACTATCCAAATAACTTCAGCTATAAAGATATATATATACAAAGGGGTTTATTCAATAAACTAGGTCTGGGGGTAGACATGGTAACTGCAAATTATTAGCCATGAGTTGGGAGAATTTGAGCTATTTTGGCTAAAATATTGCAATCCACTTGATTTTATTCCCTATATTTTGGGCCAAATTTAGGATTGCTATATCCACCTTGTCCTGGATACAAATCAAATGAAGTTGTTATTGGGCAAGGAGGTCCTTCGACATGAATTTACCTTAAGGCTGTAAACTGTTAACGAATGTTTTAAACTCAAAGTGTTGAATCTGGGGCCTGATCGCTCCACCCAGCAACATCTGCCGCAATCCGAGGCTTGAAATCAGGAAGCATACGCTGAGAGCGTCCGTTATGGTGCCGGGAGTGTTCCTTTAAATATGCTGCTTATAGCATGTATAATTCATATGCTGCAGGTAGGAAATTATGTGAATAGTTCATCAGGAAGACTGCAGCATATGTATTCTACAGACAGCAAAATAGCCCTTTTTACGCTCTGTCCACTAATGTAATTTGATGATAGTTCAAATTGCAGCAAATTAAAATATAAATGGCAAAACATGGGCAAAAATAGCTGGTGTGGACAAAATTACCAACAACCTGGCAATATTAGCCTGAATTTTGCCGTTAGGAATTCAATTAGCTGCAATTCAGTATTTAGTAAATAGCCCCCTCCAGAGTGAGTTGCAAGGAAACAGAATAACACATTACTGGGTTGATAGTTTTTTTCTTTAGAAGTTTGTCTTTGAAGCCCCACTAAGTCTAATATTTGCACATACACGTAAACAAGGCATGTCTGGACCCCACCTGTTTGAACTGGCACTGTGCCATTCACTGAAGGTACGGCAGACAAATTCTGATGCTGGCGCATAAAATGTATCAGAGTAAATTATAGACCTGACTGCAGTCATGTGTTAGAGGTGATGCTCAAATGACGCAAATGGATTTCATTTGATTTCCTCTAAATTGGCAATTCTCTATCAGCAAGGCATTAACTAATAAAGTGAAATAAAAGACATTAAATAATTACTGCTTTTTTTTTGTGGTTTGCTCCAGTAGTAAATTATCGATCAAATTACCACTTGTTAGTACATTTTAATATAAACACATTTATTAAAGGGACACTCCAAACAACTAAAGTAATTTGGCCTTGATTTAATATTGTAGGATAAGCTTTTCAAATGATTTACTATTTAGAGTATATTGATATATGTTTTATACATGATTTTTGTTTTTGTTTTTTAATTCTTTATTTTTGCAGTGCGTATAGTGGTGACAGACATACATATATTACCCCAACGGCATTCCATATGCTGGTTTCAAGACATTAGTTACACTGGGGAGTAGATAGACAATGCACTATTTTATTTTATTTATTTTTTTAGATATTACGTAAAGAGAACAAGCTAATAGGTGTCGCTTTATGGTATGACATGCTAAGTTAAAATTGCATTTAACACAACTAGTTGCACATCAGATTGTAGTTTTATTGTATTTTACAGGTTAGACAAGAAATATTAAAGACATAGTTGTGTTCCATGCTTGAGGAGTGGAACGAGTATGCTTCCATATGCTGCCTGCTATCTATGAGTACAGGAGTCAAACTGACTAATGCCACGTTGAATTCCATACTGCGTGCCAGCGGATGGGTAATCTAAGACATAGAGGTCGCTTATACATGACACAGACTGGCAGTTAGACTAGCAGTTAGAGAAAAGACCTGCTTGATTTTGCGGTATAACATGCTGTAGTAAGTGAAACCACCGTTGTTGAAACCGTCCACATGCCTGTCGCAGTCCATAGTGCTGCAGTGACAGTCTGTTTCATGGTGCTTTGTCTGAGGCTGGGATCAGCATCCCGAATGGGTGATGAGGCAGTAGGGACCATGCATAGGGGTCTCGAAGTGTAAACAAGTGGCCTCTTCAATTAGCCTTTCTCCAGACCCGACCTCGGGGATCTAGGGTGGTTAAGACCCCCGTGGGTTCCGTTTGCCATCTCTACTCTCCAGCTCAGGCCCTAGCCCTCTCTCCACGCGGTATGAAGGCAGGTTCGTGTGCGTGCTTGTTAGGTAGGGGTGATGCTCGGCAGACTGTTTCTGCCCGCAGGCAGGCGCGGCTGTGATATCTTGTACAGGTTGCAGTGCCGCCATTTTGGTGGTCAGATGCGTGGTGCACAGCTCCGGATAGGCTTAGTGTTAGGCCTTTGTGGGTCAGAATTTCCCTCTGGTGGGGACTGAGATGACCCCCCCCGGTCCATGGGGGGGGAAGCGAGGTCTGAGAGGCGCATCGCAAGGCTGTTGCGTGGTAGCCAGGTTCCCAAACAGGACGGCGGCTGTCCGTCCTTCTCTCCACCCTCGTAGGCCACAGTCCCCAAAGTCTCATTTCGCCCACAGGGGGCTCCGAGACTACCGATCTCAGGGACCGCGATGGCTCCAGCTTCTGCCCAGATACTTGAGATGGCTTTTGGTCACCAAGATTACTGTAAGTTTTGTGCCGCATGGGACCAAGTTTGTCAGGAGCCTCTCCGGCCTGCAACCGATCAGCATGGCGGTCAGGCCCCGCCCCCGACATGATATATGTTTTGATGTTTTAATATGTTGAAAAATTAATTTGAAAAGGTTTTCCAGAATAACAGTAAATCATTTGGAAAGCTTATCTAACGATATGAAACCGAGGCCTTAGCTAGTTTGTGCGCTTTATGTGTGATGAGTGTGTCCTCTTTTTATTTAATTTTACAAAAGGCCTGATTTCAATAGAAATGTTCACTTTCATAAATTAGCCTTGTTACACCCCCCGGCTGTCAATAAGACAATTGATGAAGTTACTTCCTGGTTTATTTAGATCAGATGAGCTAAACTGAAGAGGCAGCAAAAACAAGAAGAAAAGTCTACAAAACCAAACCACTTTTTAGGTTACACTCCCCCTATTTTGCGTTTTCCAATTTCTTCTGTATTACGAGGCATTATCTTCTCTCTGCAAACAGAAGGGCTCTAATCGAGTATAAAATCCCCACCACATCTTGGTAGGTGATATGCTCACTTGGTTTGAGGTGACACAATTCTGCCTTGAGCGAAATGCGTAAGTCACATTGTACCCTGCAAAGTCAACTGAGAACCGAAGAAACTCTCAAGGTACCCTAGTGGATGGGAGATTTGACAGCTTGCTAATTTTTTATTTTTATGTTTGAAATGTACCTATAAAATAAAGGAATACAGCTGAAAGACAAGATTACTAATGCCTGCCTCATGGACACGTTGACATTTGGGGAACTGGCATATATCACACTTTTCAACTATGGGGCAGGTGTCTGTCCCTAAATACAGTAAAAAAATATATATAGGGAGGTGCAACAGGTGGAGGTCAATTCACTGCGCAATTTGGGTCTCTCTCCTATTTTCTCTAGATAACTGCGTAATTAACTAGGAGATCCTTAGATCCTTTATAGGAACGCTTGTATATTTGGCGCTGTATTTTATGTCCCCAAACCAGGTGAGAATTTCACCTACCAAGGTGTGGTGGTAGTTTTATAACATATACTAAGTGATTGGTGATTGGACCCCTTTTTTTTTTTTTTGCAGACATAAGCTAATACCTAGCAACACAGAAGAAATTGGAAAAGGGACTGTAGGGGAATTGTCTCCTAATCTGCAGTTTTCTTTTGTAGACATTTCTTGTTTTTTTTGTTTTGTTTTTTAGATATTTCTTCTTAGATCACTAGATTGTAATTCTCATAGCGGTGCTTGAGATAGATTATGTCGCAGTACTTTGTATATTTGCACTAACTCTAGTTATATATTTGTGAATTAAAAACTGCAGCCTAAAATATCCAAATTAGAAATATTCTTCCACTATGCCATATTTACAGTTGGCTACTTTGACCTAAAATTAGAAAATTCCTGTTCAGTTCCTGACAATTCCCAGCATTATTGAATAATCTCATGTGCATTACAAAATGTTAATTATTTATCAATGTTTTTACATTCTCCTTTTCTAATTTTCTGACTTCAGAAATCTAATTTAATGAACTAATTTGAAGGGGGAAAAAAATAAACATATAAAACCAGTTATTTCTACATATGATTAAAATAAGCCAGACTGACAGATTCCTACATCATGACATCATAGTTTTCTCTCACACATCTACTTCCCGTATTAAACCACATGAATTGACATCAATGAACCTGGAGCAGAACACTCTGGGGGGTGAGGGGGAAGGGGAAGTTTCTCATGAAATCTGAAGCCTACCAGGGGAGAAGTAAGGTATTTAATATAATATCAACACAGCTCCGACCCAATGCATGGAAAGCTAATTATCTGGGAGTGATCAAGCTATCACCTTCGCGAAGTCAATCTGAGAGATTCCTGGATTTAATGTAACACATATACGTTACGAAATGTCATCTGTATCTACTCTTCGGAAACTGAAAATGTTTATTTATAAAATATATTTAATCGTGGGACTGCCTATTTTTTTCTGTAGATTTCACGATCTCACATACTTTGAGACCTGTTCACAGAAGTCCAACTGTTTCAGTGAGTTGAATAAATCAGATGAGGTCATCAGTTAAGATGGCTGCTTGCTTGGGGCCTTATTTATGGTCGTTCCGTTGATTGTACGCAGCGTACGGCCATCAGAGGGTAGAATTTACAATATTATCCTTTAAGATATATGAACAGCAAAAGGTTTCTCTTACATTTTGATGTGTTACATGCACGGTTCTAAATACTGCTAAAATAGAATGTCTGGGTTTGTAGTTACAGAGTATTCCATCGAAGAGGATACCGTGTAGAGTCAATGCTCCATCCGGCTCATTCTTCGCCCGGGATAACACAGCTAATTTTTTATCATGGTGTCGGAGTATTGGAGTCGGCGAAACATGTTTGTTTGAATCTGAAGGTCTGGGTAAGTGTGGTTAATCCATAATACACTGCTTCTATATTGTTAAATATACTTTAGTTTTCTAGAGCAACCTAACCAATGGTGCTTTTCCTTTTCTATGAATATATGTCTGTTCTGTAGAATCACCTGTATGAAGATTTACTGTATAGAATATTGGGATTACTATTATTTTTGTTTCTTTTATACTACAGTAAAAATTTTTGTATATATTATATATTAAATATTTACTATATAAATATAAATATTTTTACTATTCCTCCTGTTTTTTCCTCTATTCGTTACTTTTTCTCACTTGATTTATGAACCGAATAGTGGGAAAATAATCATAGCTCGTGATGACCATGTTCAGCCTATCAAAGTGCTCATTGTTGGTATGAATTGGTATGTCTAGAAGGAAGTGTGTAATCTCTGCCTTAGCCACACATCCAGTGGGGCCCAGGCTGTTGGAAGCCAGAAACCTTCATCCAGTGTTGAAGTGCTCAAAAATGGTTTAACACTGTATGGAGAGACAGCGCCAGGGGACTCCAGGCACCATAACCACTTCAATGACATGGAATGTTTTAGCACTGAATGGAGGGATATCACCAAGGGACTGCAGGCACTACGGCCACTTCAATGAGCTGAAATGGTAAAAGTGCCTACAGTGTACCTTTAAAATAGCCAAATGGGTTTAACCCCTTAAGGACCAAACTTCTGGAATAAAAGGGAATCATGACATGCCACACATGTCATGTGTCCTTAAGGGGTTAAAGCAGTTATGATTCTGGGATTGTGCATACAATGATATTGTGAGGTGGTGGTTATGTACAGAGGTGGTGGTGGTTGCAAAGACCTTTAACCGCTTAAGGACACATGACATGTGTGACATGTCATGATTCTCTTTAATTCCAGAAGTTTGGTCCTTGAGGGGTTAACCTGCATTTTGATCCTTTGGGATAACAAAGATCCAGTAGATTTAGCGTCCCAAAGGATCAAACTGCATTTTACAGGTCTCTGTCATAAGAAATAGTCTATACAGCATCATGTGGCCTGTTAAACGATCTATAGCTTGTGACGATCACTTTAAATCTGATCAGTAGTTTTGGGAAAGTTTTTTTGAAAGATAAAAAAAATCTGATTTCCAGCAAACCTTGGGCGTATTGAACGCTGAGTGAACATCGTCATAGAGTTCAAAGTTTCTGTTCCCTACACATTGCTATAGGAACTCTCCAAACACCATAACCACTACAGCAGTGTGCTATGTTCCCTGCGGAATCCTTAGTATGAGCAGTGAGGAGTCGGCAGTGATTGTCTGAAAGTGTTCACTGGCTTTCCATTGGGGGCAAATACATCCTAGCTTTTACCTGTGATGGGTGGCCACTCATAGTCTGAAAGCGTCAGCTGATGTACCTATCTTACACCGTTTTCTACATGGAGAGTTACAGATTTTCTAAGAGCATCAGCTGACACGGTCAGTCTTCCACCAGCGTCCAGTCTGAGGCTTTCTCATTGAAGCATCGGACATCGCTGGAAGACAAGGGAACGTACCGATCGGCATCAATCTAGCAAATAGTTTAAGATTTTAATGTAAGACATCACACAGGACCTCTAGGCACCACAACAACTTCATTGACATGTTGAGAGTTAGCCAAACTATTTTATTATTATTATTATTCATTTATAAAGCGTCACCACATTCCGCAGCTCTGTCCATGGTTACAATTGGTACAATTATAACAACACAGTACAATATAACTAAGAGACAATACAAAACATGAAAAACTAATCCAGGAGAAGATGAAGGCCCCTATTCGTGGTAACTTACAATCTAGATGGATGGGGAAGGGACAAACACCTAACCAAAACACCTGTAACATACCGACTATTTGTAACACATACATTATAATTCACTGTAGATATTGAAATACTGGTTATCATTACAATGCATGCAAAATATCACGCCAACACAAAGTTTGACATTTTAAACATAATCTAATGATGTCAAATGTAAACATTGACATTTTAAAAGGGTATAGTAACAATAAATGCGACATGAGCATAGATTTACAGTTTTAAAAATATGTATTCAAGTTGGTTTTAAATTTTTTGTTGTTTTTTTAAAACATATTTAAAAAGACACAAGGGTAGAGAAGAGCCTTCTAGGCCTTATATGCCCCTGATAGAGCTGCATGTGATTGCTGTTTACTGTCCATAATTATGTTATAAAACCAATATATTTCTGGTTTCTTCCATAAAAGACTAAATGACTGACGTTCCAAAATAGATCATCTTGCCTTCTAGGTAGGAATTCAGTTAAAGGACCTTTCTCTGTCACCTGTTGTGGGATTTCTGTGTTTGCACGTCTGTCGTTAACGTGACACCATCTTTCTTCAAGCACTGGGCATTTCATTGATCGTGTCTGATGTGCATGCTTTTATTAAACTGGCTCAAAGATGCTTCCTGGACCACATTTTATGGAACTTCAAAACATTTTACAAACCCAGGGTCTTCCCCATACGTAATGTTTACATTTTCTCTATTTATTCAATGTGTTAAAAACTCTCCATTTGCAACCGAATTCCCGAGAGGGTGTACTGCAATATTATCTATATAGAAATTCTTGTCGTTAATGTTCCTTATTCAATGTATATTAAATGAACGCTCCCAGCACCATAAACACTGCAGTGGGCTGTAGTGGTTATGGCACCAGACATGTCCTGGTCCTTGTGCCCTCTCCTATTAGAGTGGTCAAACCATTTTCTAATAGTTGGACTCTTACCAAAGTACAAGTCAATTCCACCAATTAGAGCCAAAGGGGCTGCATGCAGCTACTGTTTCCTATCCTGAGCTAAACCCTGCCGTGGAGGGTCAGCTCATTGGCTGAGAGCGACTACTTACATTGAAGAGGGCACCAGGGAACTCCAGGCACCATAATCACTACAACACACTGCAGTGTTTATAGTACTTCATGTGTTCCTTTAAAGACTTGATCAATGTTGATCAAGACTTATTGATCAATGTTAAAAATAGCCCATTTAATAATACATGTAAAGGGAAACTGCTCTAAATTTAATTATTATTGAGAGTAAAAGATTACATGTAATGTAGCCTTATCTTTTCAGCTATGTAATTTCATCAATAATACATTTAATATATCATTCTTCAGGAATATCTTCTACTTTGGGGAGGTCATCTTTTTGACTGCTAAGACTGTGCTGGTGTGAGTGGTTGAAACAGTATTAGAGTGCATTTCTGAAATGCCTGGTACTTGTGCATAATGCCAGGATACCACACTAGCTCTTAAATATTTGCGCAATCTGAAACTGGATAAGCTGCGCTTCTCACTAAAAGGGGGTTCAAGACCACCTCTACACAGTGTCAAGCTATGCATTGGAAAATTGTATTTACTTATAGTTATGGGTATGCATTCTGAAATAAATTGAGCAGTAGTTATAATACATGTAATCTCTTATTTTAAATAATAAAGCAAAATAAAAACCTGTGGTTTATAAACAAATTATTTGGAGATAATCTGTGAAAACTCATTAAAATTGCAAATTATAATAAATCCATCTGTTTTCAATTTCAAGGGAAGCAACTTTCTCACCTCAAACTCATATAGTTGTGTTTTTAGTATGTTATATATGTTTTATACATCACTTGTGCATCTCATATTCTCACACTTTGGGTAAACACCTCACATACCTTTTAATCCCATCTCTCATTGTGATCATCGAATGTTAAATTTCATTCAAAGTCTTGTTCCACGTCTTGTCATTCTGTAGTGCTTCACAAGCAACCCAGGGAAGTCTGTCTCTGCCTACTGGAACTGGGAAGGATCTCGTCAAGGTATGGAGCTATAGCGTATCCAATAGTGGTTACATTATCTGAATATTTCACTCCTGGAATTTCCTTTGAAATAAAGGTTAAACCCAGCCGTGAATGTCATTAAAAGAAACATCTTGAGGGCAGATGCGAAAATAAATTCTACATCATTTGGAGCATTTACCACTGATTTACATCCCCCTTGATACAATAAAAACATTTCACAATTTAAGTTATATAATCTACTTAAAAGCAGGACAGTTTTCCTTGCTTAGTTATTTTTTAGCTTTGTTTTATTTTCACAAATAAAATAAACTGTATACAAACAGAAATTGTAATTGCTATATATAACTAAATATCTCAACTAGGATAATATTAAAATAACAACAATGCCGCATTTCGAGGAAAAAGTCCACCAGAAAGTTGTGGGGAGTCTTTAGTGAACAAATATGAACTCTCTCTCTCTCTCTTGGTCGTTTTGTCATTTTATCTGCAATAAAGCAAGTATCAAACAAATAGAAAATCAGTAGTACACAAATTGCCTTTATTGACAGGTAAATGTCATCATCTGGGTCATATGTGGTCCTTCCATAGTCCGTCCAGAGTGAATATGATGAGGAATTTGCAAGAGTGCAGTTCTTACCTCAGTGTTATGCCCCTCTCAAAAACTAAAACAATTCAATGTTATAAAATATTGCAATACATACCTCCTTTACAGGACCACTCTAGGCACCCAGACCACTTCAGCTTAATGAAGTGGTCTGGGTGCCAGGTCCCTCTAGGATTAACCCTTTTTTTTTATAAACATAACATGTTTATAATAGGGTTAATCCAGCCTCTAAAGCCTCTAGTGGCTGTCTCATTGACGTTTGCGTGCTTCTCACTGTGAAAAGCAATTATGAATGCTTTCCTATGAGACCGGCTGAATGCGCATTCAGCCTAAGAGGAGGATCGGAGGAGGAGAGGAGGAGTTCCCCGCCCGGCGCTGGAAAAAAGGTAAGTTTAACCCCTTTCCTCTCCCCAGATCCCGGCGGGAGGGGGACCCTGAGGGTTGAGGCACCCTCAGGCCACTATAGTGCCAGGAAAATGAGTATGTTTTCCTGGCACTATAATGGTCCTTTAACCTGTCCAGTTAACCCAGCAATTCCTTGAAATCAAACCCAAGAAATATATTCTCTACTTTGGTAACTCATTAAGTGATCCAGTGTGTTCAATATAAAACTCAAAATGCTCTACTGGAACCTAAAAAAGTAACTCACATAAAATGAGTGCAGTTTTGTTATACGTTTATGGTATTTGCGCTGTTTGTCGTGGAGGTTCATTTCTTTGATTTTACTAGCTGATATAGAACTCTAAAGTAAAGAATAAAATATGTAACTTTTTTTTTTTTTGCTGAATAGATTTGGAGTGGAACCACCTGGGCTAATAAAGCTTGAAAAGGAGATTGAACAAGAAGAAACACTTTCAGCACCGACCCCATCTCCTTCTCCTTCTCCAACCAAATCACCAGGGAGGAAAAGTACCGGGAAATTGTTAGATGATGCGGTATGGTGACATAGTTCAAGAAGTATACTGTATTTTATGTATTTTAATATATGTGGCTCTTCAGTGTCTGTAGTGTAAAAACATCACAATTTAAGGAAATGAAACACATTTCAGAAGGTGATTATTTGTTGTGGTTCTACAAAACATTTACCCTTCTGTAATTCAGCCAAATAATATGTTCACTGTCTCACCGATTGTAGAAAAATTAATAGTAAACAGAAATCATTGAACCCTGAATAAATCATTGGCCCTAGCTTATATATCGGGAGACTGGTCATCCCTTGGTCATTTTATCTGGAGGTAGGAAACTGGTCATACCATGGTCATTTTATCTGAAGGTAGGAGACTGGTCGTACCCTGTTTTTCTTTTCCCGGTGGTAGGAGACTGGTCATTCCATGGTCATTTTATCTGAAGGTAGGAGACTGGTCGTACCCTGTTTTTCTTTTCCCGGTGGTAGGAGACTGGTCATTCAATGGTCATTTTATCTGAAGGTAGGAGACTGGTCATTCCATGGTAATTGTATCTGTAAGTAGGGAACTGGTCATACCATGGTCATTTTATCTGTAGATAGGAGACTGGTCATACCCTGTTTTTGTTTCCCGGTGGTAGGAGACTGGTCATTCCATAGTCATTTTATCTGGAGGTAGGAGACTGGTCATTCCATGGTAATTGTATCTGTAAGTAGAGAACTGGTAATACCATGGTCATTTTTTATGGAGATAGAAAACTGGTCATAACATGCTCAGTTGTTCTGAAGGTAGGAGACTGGTCATTTTATATGGAGGAAGAAGACTGGTCATCACAACCTGATCATTTTATATTGAGGTAGGAGACAGGGAATCCTCTGGTCATTTTATCTAAACATGGGCAACCCCTTGGCCTGACATATCTCATACTAAGTTTCAGTGAAAGTATTGGGAGAGAATGAGTTAGAAGAAGATGGCTGGTTACTGAGTCCCCTACCCCTTTTTTATTCTTTAAAAAAAAAAAGAAATATAGCATATCAATATAACAATACCAGGTGCAAGCATCAATAACATCTAATACGGACATAAATGAAGAAGGCTAAACAGTCAAGATGACAGTGACGTATGGGATTACACCAGTATGTGAGATATCTGATACCCAAGTATAAACACCAGAAATCAAAATCTACAGCACGTTGTATGACATCAGTAAATATGACAAGGGCAAAATATGGGCAACTGCGTTGTTAAATTCCAAAAACCAATGGAACTATTAGGGTCATAACGTACTTAATATGAAAAACATAAAAATAGAATTAAAGAAAGTACTAGAGGGGTATGAAAGAAGAGGGAAGGAAGAGGGGGAAGTAGAAAGAAGAAAGGCAGAAAGGGTGGGACAAGGAGAATGGAGCGGGTGAAGTCCATTCTTCAGCATGCTACCATGAATATCTCAGGAGTCATACTCCAATCATGTGTTCCACACCTTGTATAAAGAGTCAGAAGTGTGATGTAGAGTGGCTGTGAGCTTGGCCATCTGCATATTTGAGCCTCCCTTATAAGAGGGACAACTATTTACCCATTCGCCCATTTAAGAGGCATCAATCATTTTACATATAAGTATATAGTTTGCAGGTGGTGGTGGGGGGTTACTTGATTTTAATTTGGTTTTATCTTGCTGCTCTGAAGACAGAGAACTGCCATCGTGGGGACAAAAATTTACTGAGCAGTATTTTTACTGAGAATGTGTGAAAGATTACAGTGTGTAGCAAAAACAAAACTGTCGACTGATGGCTCGAAACTGATGGTTCTAATGTCAGAAGGTTATCTGTTCCTTCGTACAAAATGAGCCATTAGAGTTTTTCAATAGACAGTATAAGAAAGGAATCTTCTTCAATTCCTCAACCTTCAATCACCAATCACCTTAACCTACAATTTTTGATGAACTTGATGTAATAGTAATATTTGCAACCATGATGTTTCTAAACTCCATAACCCATGATGGTCAGTTAGTTTTAACATTCATAATCAACCTCATGTTAGAAAAATCCCACTCGATGCTGGACAGCCAAATAAAGAAATTAGTTTTCACTTACCAAGCCTATGAATTGAGCTCTCCTGTTATCTTATTGATTAGGCTAACATTACCAATAATTTTTATTCCATAATTCACATTATTCATAAAAGGAAATAATGTTCTGCTTTATTTTTACAGGTTCAGCACATTTCCCAAGATCCACCGTGCAAATGTCCTAATAAGTTTTGCGTAGAGCGCCTTTCCCAAGGAAGATACAAAGTGGGAGAAAAGATCCTCTTCATTAGGGTGCAGTATTATTAATATTACAATAATTATTATTATTTTGCACACTTGTGTTCTCTTGTGTATCCTGTATCTCAGGAGGGATGGTGGTTTCCCTGGTTAGTGCAATTTTAACTTGAAAAAGATAAAGAGGGTCCAATGGGGTTTATTGGTAAAATATTACAGTGAAATAAACTGCAAAAATTAGGCTTAAATCGCAAGGGTGGAAAATCAGCAAAATGGGTGATTTTTCCAAATGCACTGGTAAAATAGGACTGTTAGAGCACAGTGATGAGCATTCTGAATAAGTCAAGACTGGCACTTATAGATGTATAAAATAGACTTGTGCATTTGGTTTCAAACTAATTGGGATTTGTCAGAATTTGGACGATCGGCAGATCATCCGAAACCGCAAATTCAGAAACACAATGTAGATAAATCATGAAAAAAATGAAATGACAATGGATTTGTTTAGTGATTTGGAGTTTTGTCCATGATGCAAAAAAATTGATGATTTATAGAAAAAAGAAAATGATTAATGGTTAAGGGACAACCATAAAAAAAAATGTATCCCTTTTTTTCCCTCTTTTGCTTACTTCTTCTCACCGTATCTGTGAACCGAGAACCAAATAGAGGTAAAATGCACCAAACAGTTATTTCAGAAAAAATTACATGAGATAATACGTCTGAACGGAAACACCACATGGATAAAAGCCGATTTGCCTGCACCAAAACAAATCTTTAGACAAATCAAAATATTTCACCATACACAAGTCTAGTATCAATCCACGGGAGAAGATCTCTTCTTTGTATTATTCTCTTTGTGCCTAAAAGGACAATTTACATATAGTGGTTATAGTGCAAAGAGTCTGTTTGTTTTGAAGTGGTTCAACAAAAATGGAAGTACTTCTTATGCCTATGGCCTCATCTCTTTTCTGCCATTTTTTTTAATGTTGAAGTGAATTTCTGTATTAGTCTGTCCAGCATTGGGTGGCAATGGTTATTGTTGGAGGTGTTTTCCTTAGGTTTAGGTAGCCAAGTGCTCTCACCTAGTGGTTATGGTGTTTGGTATACTTCTATAAAAGACAGATTTATTCAATCTATCAGAATTATTCTATACTGTTTACATGGCTGTATCTTTGTGTCTGTCAAACCAAGGAATGTTTACATATTGTATGGAGGTTCCTTGATGGCACAGATTTGCGTTGTCCAGAGGTTTGTAGACTACAATCATAAAAAGGTTATAGCTGGCAGAGTTTAATAATGAAACGGTCAACAGTTTTTTTTGTTTTGTTTTTTTCCCCTTGTTATTGGTGAATCATGGAAGATACAACATAATTTATCTTATCTTTATAGTCAACATTTTCACCTCACATACCTGTCTCTTGCTCTCTCTCCTAAAGGGCAGCACTCTACTCTCTTATCCTCTGCTCTGCTTCACTCCCACCTTATTTGATTGCTACTTCCTGTCCTAATGTGTTTTATACCCAATCTCCTATAGACTTTAAGCTCATCTGAGCAGGGTCCTCTTCAACCTATCGTTCCTGTAAGTTTTCTTGTAATTGTCCTATTTATAGTTAAATCCCCCCTCTCATAATATTGTAAAGCGCTACGGAATCTGTTGGCACTATATAAATGGTGATAATAATAATAATATTTCATTAATTAAACCTATTTTCAAACACCTCATGAACAATTTGTAGATTGACTGATTATCCGCGTAATAATGTCCAGTTAATGGAAAATCTGCAAAGGAATTATCCCATTGGTCCCATACAATGTCTAAGCCTAAATACGTTTTGACCAATTGTACTTATTGACAAATTGAATGAACACTTATCCTCTGACCTATAACTTAAAGGACCACTATAGTGCCAGGAAAACATACTTGTTTTTCTGGCACTATAGTGCCCTGAGGGTGCCCCCACCCTCAGGGTCCCCCTCCCGCCGGGCTGGATGGAGAGGAAAGGATTAAAACTTACATTTTTTTCAGCACCAGGGCGGGAAGCTCTCCTCCTCCTCCTCTCCTCCTCCTCTCCTCCTCCTCTCCGCCTCCTCTTCGGCTGAATGCGCACGCGTGGCAGGAGCTGCGCGCGCATTCAGCCAGTCTCATAGGAAAGCATTCCTAATGCTTTCCTATGGGCGCTGGCGTCTTCTCACTGTGATTTTCACAGTGAGAAGCACGCAAACACCTCTAGCGGCTGTCAATGAGACAGCCACTAGAGGCTTTAGAGGTTGGATTAACCCATTTATAAACATAGCAGTTTCTCTGAAACTGCTTTGTTTATAGAGGAAAGGGTTAACCCTAGAGGGACCTGGCACCCAGACCACTTCATTAAGCTGAAGTGGTCTGGGTGCCTAGAGTGGTCCTTTAATCACTATATCACATTTCCTATCTACAGTAACAAATTAGACCCTCTATTACTATGTTATTAAAAAAAATGTAAAAGATATATTTAAAACTTGGGGTTAATATGCAAAAATGTATTTAGGACAAAACAATAATTTTGTGTATAGATTGTTGTTTGTGGCTATTAGAAACAAATGAATGATGCAAATTGCCACTGGTTTAATTGTTCACTCTTGTTCTCTTCCTTTAAAGAAATATTGGGGATATAAATGTTTTTACAGATTATATGGAATCCTATCTTTATCTAAAAAATGTCGTCATCTATGTACATATTACGAAAATAATACATTTGGTCAAATCATTTTCTTCTGGGTATTTTTTTTTTAAAGACATTTACTGGCAATTTTTAGGAGTGGAGTTGAACAAAAAAAGATGTTAAAATAATGTTTGTGTAAGTACAGTTAACTGGCCGAATGTTTCTGTTTAATACACAGCACTGCTTTTTCCACACTGCCGAACTCATGTCTGCAATAATACAGTCAATGATTTTGAGTAATAGATATTCTTGTAAATGTAATTTATGGAGGTGGGTAACAATTGGAGTGCATAAAACTGGTGCCTTTCATTAAACTAAAGAAGAATTATTTTTTTTTACTTTTGAAATTTTTTATTGATTTCTCAGTAACAATATTTTCCTGTAAAATTGGCTAAAATTTCATGTAAACCAAATTTATTGGCCTTCTATTGCAGTCCAGTTGCAGGTATTGAGTAAAATGGATTAAAGGGATACTATAGCCACCAAAACAACTTTAGTATAATGAAACAGGTTTGGTGTATAGATAATGCCCCTGCAGTGTCACTGCTTAATTCTCTGCCATTTAGGAGTTAAATCACTTTGTTTGTGCAGCCCCAGCCACACCTCTCTGCATGTGACTTTTAGAGCCTTCCTAAACACTTCCTTCAATGTTTACACTTCATTCAATTTAATTTTGAATATTTTATCTCCTGCTCTGTTAATAGCCTACTAGACCTGACAGGAGTCTCCTGTGTGTGATTACAGTTCAATTTACGGAGCAGGAGATAAAAAAAAATGTTAAAGTAAGTTACATCTGATTGAAAATTAAACCATTTGGTTTTCAAGCAGTCTGTGTTAGTCAGAGTCAGGGGAGGTGTGGCTAGGGCTCCGTAAACAGAAACAAAACTGATTTAACTCCTAAATGGCAGAGAATTTAGCGTGAGACATGATCTCTATACCAAAACTGCTGGATTTTGAAGAAAGAGTACCATTAGGAAGTAATGACATGCATCGTAGAGTGACTGCAGATTTTTGAAAAGATGATAAGGCAATGCATTTCTACCCAATTTGTGAATTTCATGTGAATCAGCTGAATTGGAAGAAAAAATATAATTCATGAATTTACTAAAGGTAGTTTGTGGGCAGTAAAGACCAATGTGCTTTGTAACAGTCTGATAAATTGCCGTGTACGCTGTAACACTATAGAAAGTGGCAACTCGACAATCTTACAATGATTTGAAAGCCCCTGTGAGTTCATGTTAAGCAGAATTTGCATTGTCATATTTGCACCCCTGTCTAAGCTCAAAGTGATCTTCTACGTTTTTGAACATGGAGAAAAAAAAAATCCTGAAGTCTAATTTTGCTACTCAAATAACATGTCTAATTAATATGGATACTTTGCATTTGACCAAACACTGAGTCAAATAAAACACAAATCATAGTGATTATTATATTGGTGAATATTACAGTGCTAGTGATTGGATTGTTATGGTCCTAATTAGGATAATTTTGGGTAAAGATAGGTGGTATACTGCTATAGACTATAACTCTCATTACTCTAAGTTACAGACCACAGACTCCTGGGTGAAGGTACCCACCTAGTAAGTGCTTGGCTCACAAACTCTAACCCTAAATAACTTTATCTTTAAATAGCCCAACTGCAAAATTAAATCATGTGGCTGGAAATTTAGAAGTAACACAAACATTTTGGGGGGTTAATTTTTTGGGTTGATAAAAGAGTTAACAGATGTCTAGTAAAATCATGTGGTTAGTGCAAGGCATGAAACAATAAACATAATACATATCAGTTCAAATCTTAAAGTAACTGGCTTGTTGAAAGCCTTTCAATGTCACATGTATGAACAGTACTTAGTACTGAAAAGTAATTCTCTTTGAATCTTGTGAAAATATCCTTAAGGGCTCCATGTGAGCACATTTTCTCAGCCAACAATAAAATCAATATGGCAAAGACTAAGATGAATGTTAGGTGCTTCTAGCTCCCCTCACATCCCTCCTCCCCCCCCCAAAAAAAAAAAATTGCAAAAAAAAGTGATGAAGAATTTAATTTCCTTTTTTTTTCAATTCACAGGTTTTTGTTTTGTTAATAGAGAGTTTGCAGTTAAAGTGTGTAACAAAAAGTTGTTATTCTGTCAAAAGTCTAATCTAATAGAAAGAAGATAAGAAATATGGAAAAATCACGAGGGCGTTTTATTGATGACATTTTGCAAGATTGTAACCAAAATGACTAATGGGAAGAGAACGATTATTATTTTACTGAGCAACATATTGCTGACACAATTTGCTAATTTCGATGATGCACATGTCAAGACGCAGTTTGTTCCATATATAGAGCCTTTATAACTAGTACTGTATCGCCTGTAGGAATAGCTAGGCTGTAAGAAGTTATTTCCCAGTGGGTTTCTGTATTAAACTATTGATTAGAGATGTACTGAAACCTGAGCGCACTTTAAAAAAGAAATCCATATATGCTTTAATCTCATCGGCCTAGCTAGAACAAAGCAGGCATCATATTTGCAAATATGATGCGGTAAATGAAAGGACCTTTTTTTCCACTGGAATATCTAGACAGGCAATCGAGATCAGTGAGATATTAACCCATTTACTACCATTTTCTAAAAAATAAAAAGAAGAACATTTATTTGAGATGTGAGATGCAGATCTAACACATTATTGTGGGATAAGACAGCCGCTTTGTACATAGATTGCTGTCTAAGTATACATGATAATTTCAAAAAATATAAAGTTACACAATTTAGTTATTTTTTGTTTTATTAATTTACCCTTGAAGAAAACACTGGAATAGATCATTAATTTCAAGGATTATATGGTAATCTTGTTTTTTTTTAATGCTTTATTTTTGTTGTGCAAAGGTTTGCCATACAAGCTTGTTATGCCACGACAGCAAATACAGGTATTGCAAGGGGTATAAAACTGTGGTATGCGATAGGACTGCACATTTTTTGTAACTCTTGTGTTTTAACATTTTAGATATGGCCTCAAACATGAGTAAAGAAACAGAAGTATCATTGTGGTGTGACAAAAATAGATATATAAAATTGGCCAAATAATCTGTTTATGGCTATAAGTAAGAAACAGTGGACATTTCTAGGAAAGCTTTCTAAAAATATCCCCACAATTTAACATAAATGTCTCCAGGCATCAAAACAACTATAGCTTAATGAAGCAGTTTTGGTATAAAGATCATGCCTCTACAGTCTCACTGCTCAATTCTCTGCCATTGGGGCGTTAAATCACTTTTGTTTCTATTTATGCAGCCATAGTCATGCCTCCCCTTCTATGACTCACACTGCCTACATGAAAAAAAACAAACATTTTCAATAAGATGTTAACTTGCTTTAGAAATGTTTATCTCATGTTCTGTAAATATAACTTTTTTTTTTAGTGTTTAGAAAGGCTGTGTAAGTCACATGTAGGGAGGTGTGACTAGGACTGCATAAACAATGTGATTTAACTTCTGAATGACAGAGAATTAAGCAAAGCTACTACAGGAACGCTATGTATACACCAAGACTGCTTCAGTAAGTTGTTTTGGTGCCCATAGAGTCCCTTTAAGTACACGTACACCAAGCATCTGTACTATCATGATATACTCTGCATACAATCTCTGTACTGTACTCAGTGTACTCAGAGCCCTCCTTAATTTCCTTAACTTAATTGCTAGAATTCAACCATAATGTTTGAACGACAAAGGTGGCTATTTTGTGGGTAATGAAATGTTGGAAGATGGTCTAAATTAACACATTACAGGACTTCATTGCAGCCAGCATTTTAGCCTAAAATCTGTATTTCTTGCATGCGGGCATTATGATAACAGGCAAACATTATTTTAACATGCTCATGGCGTCTTTAAGACTGCCTTGCCCCCAAAATAATGACAACATGTTACAATTACTCGCATTCAGGGTTTTAAAGTATTATGTATATATATACACATATACTTTTGTTGTTACCAATTTTGGTGACAAATATTGTATTTCCCACCAGAGTTGGTCCACAAGATATTCCCAAATGCCTCATCTGTGTGCTGGAGCTGTATAAGAGGAGAGGGAACAGTGATACACATCTGGTGGGAATGTCCACAAATTATTCCCTTCTAACCCATGGTAAAAGGAGTCTTGAGTGAGGGCATTAAGAAGGGCATTAACTGTTATATATTTCAGGGGGAAAAAGGAAAGGTGCAATTACTGGATTAAAATATTTATTCTGGGGGGCGTGTCCAACTTCCGGCAAGATCGGTCGCATGGAGTAGGAGCTCCGCACCACCCGGACCAGCTTAAATACTATTAAAGAGGAAATTTCGCTGGATTACCTTGACCAAGCGGGGGGCAAAGGCTACACGGCTTCTAATGTCTCCCTCGAAGCAGACAAAACTTACGGACGCGGTCCGCCACCATAAGAGAGAAAGGCTGAAACAGGCCCAAGATGGCGCCGCCAGCAGAGCTCAGTCTCCGGACCCTGACCCCTGCACCGAGTCGCCCACGCACTCACTATCAGACGACTCACAATTCTCAAAAGAATATCTGAGACAAGTGCTCGCGGACCTCAGGTCCACTATTAAAGAGGACTTCACCACCTCCTTGGCGGGCATCCATCAAGAGCTAGAGGAGCTGGGTGACCGGACCGATCAGGTCGAACGTAAAACTGATGATCTCTCCTCTGCCCACAATCTGATGGCGGACAGACTACAGAAACTAGAGGAAGATAATACCAAATTATGGCACAAAATGGCGGACATGGAGGACCGCTCCCGCAGGAACAACGTGCGGTTCCGGGGAGTAGCAGAGTCCATCACAACAGAACAGATCTCGGCCTACATTAACTCATTAAGTACCACGCTGGTCCCTGACCTCTCCGGTGTTACATGGGAACTGGATAGAGCCCACCGGGTTCCAAAACCGCCCAGATTTGGCGCGGACGTCCCGCGTGACATTATCGTGCGCTACCATCACTTTAAAGCCAAGGAGGCTCTTCTCAAGGCCGCTAGAGCCCAATCCCCATTGCCCGACCCATATAATGCTGTCTCTATCTTTGCGGACCTATCGGCCCTCACTATGGCAAGACGCAGAGAATTCTCCTCCATTACAAAAACCCTACGCAACCACAACCAGGCTTATCGCTGGGGATTTCCTACGAGACTGCTGGTCTGGCGGCAGAATAAGCTCCACATTATAGATGACCCCTCGAAAGGGCTAACCACGCTGAAACACTGGGGACTTTGGGGCCAGCAAGAAACCACCCACCTACAACCAGCCGCCTCGACCACCCCGAAGAGGTCCCAGCCAGACTGGCAGATGGTTGGCGCTCGACGCTAACGGCCACCCCATCTAGGACAGCATCTCCCTGCCTCTACTCTTTGATGTATACTACAGCCGCGCAAGAAGACACCATGCTGCTTGTTGATGCCCTCGCCCGACACGGACGTTAACCACCTACCCCTGAACTGTCTCCAGCTGGCTTATGCCATACGCATGGACTCTGCGACAATACACCTATAAGGGCCATAGACCCCAGTTGCTACGAGTGGTATCGTATGATTATACACGGTGGCAAAATGTTTAATGAGGGTGTAGGGTGGGAGGGCATGAATAGTTCACAAGTTGAAGGGATTTAAAAAAAAAAAAAATGTTTATAGTGTCCACTAAGTACTGCTTATATTCAGGAGGGGAGGTCATGCTTGTTTCACTGCTTCATCTGAGAAATGTTTAGCAAGGGAATAACCCCCCCCTGGTAAATTGCTCTGTTACAATGTTCGTTCTTCCCTACGGATGAGTTTAGGCTACCATGTGTATCGCTTCATCCCTCCTGTACTCTAGCTGGCCCCAAGGCTAGGTCTCCCAAGGCCCCCCCCTCCCCTCGGAGCGCTAAGCACACACATGGTTAAATGGTCGCATCCTGAGTTTTATGATTACGACCTTAGATACACTTTCGACCATGCTCAGTTTAACGGAGGGAAATATATTAAAAAAAAAAAAAAAAAACCCATCCACCAGTTAGCCACAATACTCCCGGTTAAGCTACCATAAATCCGTTGCCCTTCTCCCCTATACTGCCTCAGAGATTTAGAGAGAGCACAGGTGAGAATGCTGTCCAGATTTCAGCCCCTCTCACGCATGTTCTCCTCTCCATTCCTGCCTACTTTGAGAATCTGGTCCGGGTGCGGTCCTGTTCCGCACGACCCCCCAAGGGTATCCGAGGTGCTTGGAGCTTTAGGCTCCCCTCTGGATCCCAGTATTTTCTCTCATCTCAGAGAGATATTGTATATACCTTTGTTTGTTGATTTTATCTTTCCTGTTATTTCCCTTCCCATCCCCTTGGCAGCTACGTTGACCCATACCTGTGCAGGACGTAATCAGTCATCTGATCTTCCCCTACTCTACACTACCACAAGCCCCATGTGTGTCGCTGGCAGACAATATGCTGTGACTAACAAGCTCTATTATATATCCCTTTAAGATGATGTACCAATTTAAATGTCTCTCTATGAATGTTAACGGCCTAAATAGCCCATTTAAAAGGAGCTCTGTGATTAAGACCATTCATACTTCCCAGGCCGCCATAGTTTAACTCCAGGAAACGCACATGTGCAAAAGAAACCCCCCCAAGTTGAGCTCATCCAGGTATCAGCAGGTATTTCATGCCCTTGCCCCAAACAAAACGAGAGGAGTGGCAATTCTGTTCCATATTGACTGGGTCTTCCATCTTGATAACACCTATGTAGACGAGCTGGGCAGGCTCCTTATAGTGGTAGGCTCTTTGAATGGAATGCAACTTACGATCGCTTCCATATATGCACCCAACAACTCCCAAATTTCCTTCATTAGAAGAGCATTAAATAAAATCTCTACTATCCGTGTGGGGCATACTATTATCTGTGGCGATCTCAATTGCACGCTAGACCCCGACTTAGACATTAAGCGAATAGCAAACAAACAACCTCTCCAACTTGCTAACACAATGAGTGCAACCCTTAGCACGCTGCTCCACAGGCACGACCTTTACGATTCGTGGCGTACCCTTTATCCGAAAGAACGAAACTACACATATTTCTCACGAGTCCATCACACATACTCTCGTATAGATATGTGCTGGGTAGATAAAAATACGGTACCCAATATAATAGAAGTGCAAATAGGTGACCGGACATGGTCCGACCACGCGCCGGTAACCACTACTTTTAGGGCCTTGTTCCCGTCACGGGGGCGCAGTGCCTGGCGCTTAAACGAATCCCTCCTAGACAACGAGACTACGGCTGCAAAAATTCGGGATAACATATTATCTTTTTTGGAGACTCACCTTGCCGACAACACTCGCATAGACACTAAATGGCTGGCCCTAAAAGCCGTGATAAGAGGCCTATTGATTCAGGCAGGCGCAATAAACAAAAAGAAAACCCACACTGAGTCAGATAACCTACTTTCTCAACTTAAATCCTTAGAACAAATTAACAAACTCAAACCAACTAAAAATCTATCCCGCACTATCGAAAAATTAAGGGACAAAATACTTGATCTATCCCTGATAAGTGTGGAACGACAGCTCCGCAAATTAAAGCTCACCTATTACATGCAAGGGAACAAGGCAGGCAAACTACTCGCAAAACGACTAAAATCCCGATACATACAATCTAAACTCCCATATATGACCTCGTCCACTGGGTCAAAGCTATTCAACCCACAAGATATAGTAGACGAACTAGCTAACTTCTACAAGGGACTATATAACCTCGCACAGGATAGTACTTTACACCAGCCATTAGACCCAGAAATAGCCACCTTTTTGACAGGAGCAGAGCTGCCGCACCTATCGGCACAGCAACGCGCAACCCTGTCAGCCAAATTCACAGAGGAAGAAATACGAAATGCAATTCGCAAATTACCCAAACATAAAGCACCGGGCCCAGACGGGTTCTCCAACCACTTTTACTCCACATTTGAGCCACAGCTCACTCCATACCTCACAATCCTCTTCAACTCCTTCAGGGACTCAGGGACAATACCGAAGGAAATGTTGCTAGCCCATATCGTTACACTTCCTAAGCCCGGCAAACCGCCCACAGAATGCGCCAACCTGAGACCAATCTCCTTGTTGAACGCAGACATTAAACTTTTTGCCAAATTACTAGCCAATCGCCTCCAACCCCTCCTGAGGGACCTGGTCTCCCCAGAACAGGCAGGATTTGTTCCGCATAGACAACCGGGGGATAACACCCGACACTTTCTGAACCTCATCTCATGGGCCCAAAAAACCAACCAAAGCGGCATTTTACTAGCTCTAGATGCGGAAAAAGCATTCGACCGCCTTAATTGGTCTTACATGAGGGCTGTCCTAACTGCAGTGGGCATACCACAAGACTTCCTGAAAGGTATTATGGCCCTATACTCCAATCCAGCAGCCAAAGTATTCAATTCAGGGTTCCTATCTCAACCTTTCCAAATAACGAATGGCTCCAGACAGGGTTGTCCCCTCTCCCCGTTAATCTTTATAATATGCATGGAACCACTGGTTAGACATATCAAGAGTGACAACTCGATCGAAGGCCTATCTACCCCCATTGGGACTCAAAAAATAGCCCTATTCGCTGATGATGTCCTTCTTTTCCTATCACGCCCAGTAAAATCCTTACCAAATTTACTAACTTTGCTGGAAAATTACGGTAAGGTCTCGTTCTATAAAAACAACGCCAAAAAAACACAAGCGATGGCACTGGGACTGCCACATACCTCTCTAAACCCTCTAAAAACACTATACCCGTTTGAGTGGCGGAACTCCTCCATCTCATATTTGGGTATCAAATTGCCAACGAGGCTCTCAGCAATAACACATGAAAACCACCTGCCACTCATTCACAAATTAGAGCAACTCCTTAAGTCCTGGGAGGAGAAGGAGATCTCCTGGTTAGGACGTATCCACACTGTAAAAATGATGATCCTCCCACACATTTTATACCTATTCCGCACTCTTCCCATTACAATCCCTAACTCGCTCCTACAGAAATTTCAGGCCATGATCAATGCTCACATATGGAAGAGAAAACCCCCCAGGATAGCGCAAAACTCACTATGGCGCCCATTCACAAAAGGAGGACTGGGTGTTCCCAATGTATCCCTTTACTATAAGGCGTCCCTGTTGGCCCAGGGCCTTGCGATCCTTGAGCGTCCCTCTCCCCCAATATGGCTGGCATTGGAGAACGCCTGCACACCTAATGGCTCAATCCCACTATCCCTGTGGGCAGGGTCAAAACTTCCCAAAGCCACATCCTTGTTGCCCACCACAGTCGCGCTCTTTCATAACTGGAAGCAAACTACACCGCTCTTCTTACGAAATAATGACCTACTCCTAGCTGCCCCACTCCAAGCCCTGACTACAAAAACCTCAAACATACACCTAGACAACTGGCTTAAGCAGGGGATCACCCAAGTTCGTTCCCTACTGTCCGCTGAAGGCATCAAGCCCTTCCCAGACCTGATCAGGGAATTCCATATCCCTTCACGGGAATTATTCTCCTATCTCAGATTAAAAAATATAATTCAGGAAAGCGGGATTAGCCTGAGGGAACCCGACCCTACACCGCCCTTCATCCACAAATGCATGGGCAAGCTTCCAAAAACTAAGGCACTATCTCTATGTTACAACACTCTATTGCTACACGACAAACTGTCCAAACCATCGTATATGTCTAAATGGGAATCGGACCTAGGAAAGCTTTTTTCTAATGAATTATGGCATCGCGCCCAAAGATTAACCAAACAGGCGTCCCATAGCCTTAATCAATGGGAAACATACTGTAAATTAACAATGCGTTGGTATCTAGTCCCCACCAAATTGGCCCGTATCTACCCGGGCTCTGACGCAAGTTGTTGGAGATGCCACAATAGCGAAGGGTCCCTCTTACATATATTTTGGACATGTACGTCTATTACCACATTATGGCGGGACATACACGCTCTTCTATACAAAATTCTGGGCGTGCGAATTCCCCAATCCCCAGAGTGCTTTTTACTACATATTTTTCCAAATACCCTACCTACGGAAGCAATCCCTTTCACGATCCATTGTCTCATGGCTACCAAAACTGCCATCGCACATAGATGGAAATCACCACTGACACCAACAATGTCAGAAATCCTCAGCAGGCTGGACTCATTCCATGCTTATGAACGTATGGCTAGCCGGCTGACAAATAGCCAAAGTAGGTATAAATCAAGATGGCAGAATTGGGTGCTCTATAGAGAGGGAGAGACGCACCGGGGGCCGTGGTCCGGCCACTAACCCCAGCCGGATTTCCCCTCCTCCTACTCCATGGGCTCAGATAGTTGCCTCCCTACAACTAAGCCAGAATGCTTTAATGTATGTTCACCTTTAAAAAAAAAAAAAACATGTTCACCATTAAAATGTTTGTTCACTTTTGATATGCAATTTGAGGATCACATGTTAACTGTATTGCCAAATGTCCTCTTACCACGAATTATTAGACATTCGCAATTGTTAATTGTACCACATTGTATTACATTGTAATGTACTGAATGATATGCGGAAACCTATACAAGCTGCTTTTCCCCCCCCCCTCTTCCCCTTTTCTCTTCTGTACCCCTTGATATACCTCGTATTCTGTTTTATACGATGATGAAAAATATGCTCAAAATAAAACACATTGAAAAAAAAAAAAATATTTATTCTAATATTTTAGACCCTTCTGAAAGATTAAAAATAAGAAACTATAATTTAAATTTTTTATCTTCCATATACTTATCTAAAGAACAAACTTATAAATGAAAAATAAAATGGTGTAAATATATATAATTTGCATTTTTGGTATCCACGAACAGCAATTTATATACTAAATTAACCTGCAGCAACCAATATATTTGATCAAATAAAGAAATTGTTTCTCCAGTGTCAATGAAGAAATTAACAACTAAGTAATGAACATAGTTTCCAGAAGCCGAAACTGATGTTTTTTTTTTCTTCTCAATTTTAAAAAGTGATCTAAAAATATCTCAAATTGAATCCTGATGTTCCTGCAAATATTTGTGAATCTAATTAAAATTCACAGTTTTTTTGCTGGGGATACTGTCTTATGGCAAATGAGGGTAACAGAAAGCACTAAATCTAATTAGGAAAAAGGATATTCTAGGCTTGCTCATAATGGCAGGTGTTGATTTGTAAGGAAATTGATAAATGGTCTTGTCTGTCCTTTTATCTTCAAGTGTTACTTGATAAACAAGGACTTAAAAAGAATCTCCTTTAAGCTGAGTCCTGGTAAATCTAATTATTGTGCTGTACAATAATAAATGATATATGTTCTTGCTTGCTGTTATTTCCGCAGGTCAGAGCAAGGATCCATATGTGGCTCAAAATATAGACATTTAATTAAAATATTTTATCATATTATCATAAGAATTGTGTTTTGAAGGATTGTTGCTGTATTGGTGGAGAATAGGTCAACTGGTTAGGGTATATAGTAACAATATTGATTAAAATAACTGTATACTGGATCTTATATATTAGTAAACTCTGATGGATAAATATAATTGCAGAAGGGACTTAGCAATATGTTTATGCATTCTGTTATAATATCTAGGGGTGTGATTGCGGTGGTGCAACTCCTGTTTAAACCTGCATTTTTAAAGATTATGTGTCTTGGTCAGCTTATATTAACGGGAAGGTTTGCAAAGGCAGCAGACAGGAGATCTGCAGGTTTTCCAGCTGTATTTAAATGTACCCCCAATTAAAAAATGAATAATTAATGCATGGAAGTTTTCATTTGGGACATATTTACTAAACAGTGATTTGTATTCATTTTGTATTTAGGCAGTAGAGTGTCCCTGTTACTGTGACTTCTCAATGAAGTGGTTTGGGTGCACTGCCCCTGCTGTTTTGCCCAATGTAAAAATAGGCCATTTCGGAGATACAGCAATATTTAAATTGGGAGCCCTCTGGTGGTTGTTACATTGTCAGCATCTAGATCACGGATAGGCAACCTTCGACACTCCAGATGTTTTGGACTACATCTCCCACAATGCTTTTACACCCATAATGCTGGCAAAGCATCATGGGAGGTGTAGTCCAAAACATCTGGAGTGCCGAAGGTCGCCTACGCCTGATCTAGATGGTGCTTTCACATACAGGACCAAGTCAAACTAAGTCTTTGACATTCAATGTTCTCACATATTGCATGAGAACGTTGTACCTTCAGTCAAGCATTCTATTCAATGCTTCTCTACGATAAGCATTTGCGTGGCCCATTGCGGCGAATGCTGTGTATGCACATTAAGGTCACAATGCTTCTCTATGAGAAGCATTTGATTGGACAAAATTAAGCCTGATGACATCAGTGGAGGTGGATCGGGATGCAGAAATGAGGCTGTATCAACGCTGTATTAAAGGTTCAATGAAAAAATGCATAATTAAATGCATGCATGTTTACATTGGGGTATATCTACTAAGTAGTGATTTTTAACTTTTATTTGGAACATCAGTAACATTGCCGCTGTGGGTCCAGTGGCTGGAGGGGCAGGGAAAGGTGAGTTCTAATGATCTGAACCTGTCCCTGGCTGGCGTTGTCCTCTTTAGCATCAGGAGCCAATATCACTGCTGTAGAATTGAGGTCCATTGGGGGTCCCGTGGCATCCTTTATTGATAAAGCCAATTCCCTGCAGGACTGACACTTTTAGACTGCGGTAGCTCTGCCCAGTGTCTAGGAGTGTCAGGCATAGCAAAAATACTGAGTATGTGGCCTCTATTTCAGTGAAATTCCAACACAGCCAGCATGAGGATTTCATACCTTTTCTATATTTATGAATGACTACCTTTTCGGCATGGGGGAGGGGGGGAGGTGGGAATTAACAGTGCTGTAAGAGAAAACCACAACACTGCATTAACCATTAAAAATAAAAGTATCGCATGAAATAATTTTAACATTAGTTATAGGGGATTTTCAATGTTTTATCAAGTGGTGTAATTTTAGTTAACATTTTCGATATAACAATATAATAACAATACTATAGGATACTGTAGCTTACATTTTTATAATAACTATGTGTTAGAGGTCTTTGACTATTCAATTGTGTAAGTGACCTACTAAAATCAATATTATTTAAGTTGTCATATTATGAGAAGTAGGATATGCTCAATTAATCTGGTGATTGCGATATGCCTGCAAGATCCCATGATGACCTGCTAATGAGAAATATTCTGTTAGATGTGGTTTATTTTGTCAAGATTCTCGAGAGCAATTTCTTTTTTTCCCCATAAAATATATGGTTCTTGTTTATGAAGATCCTCCTAATATTTCCTAACTGAACCGGATCTGGACGGAGTCACCCTTGGAATCAAAAGCCCACGCAGTGATACGGTTCTCCCATCACGTGTGATTTTTGTGTTTATTATATTTTTTTTCTATGAAGGTGATTTAATCGAGAAAATCTCAGTATATTCTTTCGTGGTATAATAAATCATTTTGTATCCTAAGAGCTGCCGAAGCGGTTGTTTGTTTGGGATTTGCATAATGAGTTCTGCTTTATCATGCATCACTTGTTTTCTTTAGAAAGTCTGACAAGCAAGGTGTATCACTGATATGGGTGTTGCATCAATACCCATATTACATATTTTATTTACTAAATGTAAAACTGCTTATGGGGGGAATATTAAAGTCCAAAGTTAGTTCTGACTTTTAAAGAAGAACTACTCTCATTGGGTCAGTGACAGTTCCATATTCAGTAATCCGCTTTCACTGGAATAAGGAGGGTTGAGAAATTGGCACCATAGCCACTACATCACAGTTTACAAGTCCTGGTGTTATAAGTATTTATTTGCTGTCCTCCAGTTTTCTGATTGATTGAAGTGATTTGAGTTTAATAAAAAGTAAAAAAAAAAAAAAACAGCAACAAAAAAACAGGACTGTCCCTGGCTCCCATTGAATTCATCTTCAGTCACACTGATATAGAAGATATTACAGTCCCCGTTATCAAGTGCAAATACATGAAATCTGTATAGTAATAATTGGTTGAGAGCATTGGGCTAATACTCTTTCACCATAACTACTACAACTTATTATACATTTTATAGTAGTTGCTATGATGCAAGGACCTTCTTATTCATATTGTTAATCTTGTGTACAGTTACTCCACCCCCAGTTTTTTGGATCATTTAAGGAAGCATTCCTTTCTCTTTTGACAGTACAAACATTTGTACAGTCTATGCACATTTTTTGATCTGCATATGCTTTGGGCAACTAGCTGTGACATAAGCTAGCTACTAGAGTGCGCGCATGAGCAGCACTCTGAGCTGGGCAGGAAATATCAAAATAGTTAGTGTGCATGGACTATCACATTTTGTACTAGTGTAGATATTGATTTGCTTGGGGAAATGATGTCAGAAGTCAGGAAGGTGGAGCTACAGTGCAGGACATTTTAGAATCCACGTAGAGAACTTAATAGTTTTATATATTTTTGTTTTGTAGGGTGTAAGGACAGGTTTCTCAAAGCTGTAGTGGTAATGGTGATTATAATTATTCTGCGCTGACACTTTGATGTATTTTCTTTGTAGATGCTGCACAATAAACATGTAATGGTCCGAGTCGGAGGTGGATGGGAAACGTTTGCTGGCTATTTACTAAAGCATGACCCATGCAGGATGCTGCAGATTTCCCGCCTGGATGGTAAAACCTCTCCGATTTCAAACAAATCACCCAACATCAAAGACCTGAGCCCCGACACCTACCTGGTGGTATCGGCAAACTACAAATCCAAAAAGGAGATAAAGTGAATATTAACGAGAAAGGCAGACACCAGAAAACTTGGGGGCCAAGGACCAGCTCCAGTGTAGGTATCAGGACCGCCAAAGCCCACCTATCTTTCATTGTTAAATAGATTTTGTATTAATGGTTGATTGATACATTTCATTTGCTGTTTTTCGCTTGGTGTTTGCCGTTTCTGTACAAACTAGGTGATTTTAGTACAGTCATCTCTGTAAATCAAAAATCAAGAACACTGTGTAGTGACTTGTTGATTCATTCTTTTTTTTTTTTTTTTTTTTTAAATAAATACATACTCTTAAATATGTTTTGATTATTTTGAAACAGTTTGAAACTGTAAAGATCTGACTTATGTAGATTGTTTTATTACTTAGTATCCCTCTCCTTCCATATTTCTGATTGCTATCAAGAAGTAAGACGTGGATTGATTTATATCAATAATTTGCTTCACCTCTCTGCTCGAGATATTTTCGTTCCCTTTTTTATGATGATTATAAGAAATTGCAAAAGAATAAAACATGTTTCTCATTAAGTGTATTATTGTGGTATTTACTAGAGTGGAGGGGAAAAAGGCACAAAATATACTTTTTACAATGAATGTGAATGTACCGTATATACTCGAGTATAAGTCGAACCGAATATAAGTCGAGACTCCTAATTTTACCCCCCAAAAAAACTTATTGACTCGAGTATAAGAGTAGGGTGGGAAATGCAGCAGCTACTGGTAAATTTTTAAATAAAATTAGATCCCCCAAAAATTATATTAATTGAATATTTATTTACAGTGTGTGTATATAATGAATGCAGTGTATGTGTGTGTGTGTGTGTATAAATGCAGTGTGTGTATGAATGCAGTGTGTGTGTGTGTGTGTGTGTATGAGTGCAGTGTGTGTGTATGTGTATGTGATGCAGAGCCTTGGTGGGGGGTGGGAATTTTTATAATTTTTTTATATTATTATTATTATTGTTTTAATATTTATTTTTATATTATTAATATTTTTATTTTATTTTATTTAAATTTGTATGTTTTTTTTTTGTCCCACCTCCTTGCTTGTTAGCTGGCCAGGGAGGGGGGCTCTCATTCCCTGGTGGTCCAGTGGTGTGCACTGTGTAGGAGGGGGGCTGCAGCTCCTGTCAGCTCCCTTCTCTCTCCTCCAGTCCGGTCAGCTCCCTTCTCCTCCACTGTAAGTCTCGCGATGTGACTGCTGCACGGAGCGTTGCCACGGTAACCCGTGGCAACGCTCTGACCCCGCAGCTCTCGCGAGACTTGCAGGGGAGCTGACCGGACCGGAGGAGAGAGACAGGAGCTGCAGGAAAGGTTTAAGTTACAGCTCGCTGCTGGCCCCCAACAAGTTGCCATAATACAGACACTAACTCGAGTATAAGACGAGTGGGGGTTTTTCAGCACAAAAAATGTGCTGAAAAACTCGTCTTATACTCGAGTATATATGGTATGTGTAAACCACATAACAATGAAGATGCCAAATAGTGATATCTCAATCGACTGAGGCATTTCCACCTCCCGATGGAGACATTTGTAGTATATATATATATATATATATACTGTGCTGTCAGTAAGCTTGTGTTTATATATATATATTTCTATATGTATATAGATATATATATCTGTGCTCAGGGCAACCATCGATTTGATTAATGCATACAGTATAGTGACATAACATGTATATTGGGTATAAGTCGGTTGAAATGTGCCAGAACTAGGAGAGTAAATAAAGTGGGCAAAAGGGAGAAGTACCATGCCAAAGAAATATTAATTAATACGATGAACATAATACAAAGGAAAACATCTTGTTTTATGAAAGCCCTCCGCATTTCCTGTACAGGTTGAGGTATGTATACCGAGAAAGCGGCTGACTTCCATCGACCTAGTGATTTGATAACATGGACAGGTATGTCCTGACTGGATGCAGTAGAAGCGGTCCCTATCCTGAAGGGGTGTCCTGAATATCTACTAGGATTCATAAAGAAAAGAAAAAGAAAAATAGAGCCTAATAATATTAAGTACAGGTAGAACATTCAAAACAATGGGGGGTAACCCCTAAATGGTTCATAGTAAAGTGGAAGAAAAAAAAAAAGGCTTCCAGTAATTGTCTTGATAGTGTCAATTGTCACCAAATATAAATTTTAAGACTTGACTATTAGTGAATGTTTGTAATATGATAAATTATCAAATTGTAAAACAACTTTTAATGAATGTTTAGTAAAATAATAGTGATAAAAAAAATAATAAATAAATAAAGATACATGAAAACCGAGATAATCAGTCCATAAATTAGGTAAGTATTGCTATGACAGCACATAAACCAACAAAGAGAGAAATAAGAAAATAAAAAAATAAACTTAATTCTGGTAGTTGTCAGGACTGAGAGGTGAAAGACTATATAAATATATCTCTGTTTCGCAATAGTACTGCACTGGGAGGCAATTATCTTCACAGTTAACTAGCTAAACTCTTCTGCAGAAAGAGGCTAGTGTGTAAGAATAGGAATGCTTAATTAAGTATACTCTGTGTAGATCGCCTGGTCACCAAAAAGTCCTTAAAAAGTTTATCAGAACGAAAGTGCTGTGGGAGGAGATGAAAGAGTGTAGCAAAAGCCTATGGTTAGGTAATAGCAGATCAATCTAACGTGCCTTCGTGGGCACCCCTTATCAAATGCCTACTCTGACTCTAATTCCCCCCATATAGCAGCAAAATGAAAAGAAAAAAATAATAATAAATAGGTAAATGGACAATCACTCAGTCACAGGATGCCCGCAGAGAGTAAGGTAACTCTTAAAATATCGGCAATGCTAGTAACAAGCATGAACTTTGCCGGCTAGGCATCCTATACCCCTGACGCGCGCGTTTTGCCCGGGTTGCTCATCAGAGGGGCATCCCCCTCTGATGAGCAACCCCCCCCCTCTGATGAGCAACCCGGGCGAAAACTGATTATCTCGGTTTTCATGTATCTTTATTTATTTATTTTTTTATCACTATTATTTTACTAAACATTTATTAAAAGTTAAGTTTTACAATTTGGTAATTTATCATATTACAAACATTCACTAATAGTCAAATCTTAAAATTTATATTTGGTGACAATTGACACTATCAAGACAATTACTGGTAGTTTTTTTTTTTCTTTTTTTCCACTCTACTAGGATTCAAACCCAGTCTTGTTAGTAATAATCACACGTACAGCATAAACCTAGAAGTAGTCAGGACTGCCATGTGAAGTGACATAAATGGTATTTCTGATAGCATAGGGAGTGTGAGGAGATGAGAGTCAAGAACCTTCACCAGGCACCATCTATTGTGCATAGGGTAATATGTGATCTGGACTGGCTGTCTCAGTTGACTAGTTTTTGTAACGGGTAGTGACAGGATGTAGGGATCTTGGAGTTTTACTAGATAGGAGTGTTTGACGCATCCATGGGAGTTATGTTTTGTTTACTATGGATGGTAAATTCTCATGGTCTAAGGAACCCATAAAAAGCAAGATAAATTGCAGTTTTAATAACCGTATTTAGTAATGTGTTCAAAAGGGGCTGAATCTAGCAAGTCTGACATATCTTTGAACAATTGTATATTAATGGGTAACCTTTGATGTGGAGTAGGACCACTGGCTTTGTGTATGCTTTTGAGTATGGTCTTAATTGGATAAGAAGAAAGAAAACTGGGATTGTCTGGGGAATGTTGAATACATGTGGTGTTGAATGCCAGTTAAGTATAGCTTGATGGGACAGCCTTAACCTAAGGTGGCAAAAAGTAGCGAATGCTACCAGAGATGTAACGTCAAACATATTATCCAATTTATGGTTTGCCATAAATGTCATGTATAAAGAGAAAGCCCTATTGTAGGATTAGCGAGTGTTAGTTGAAAGGGCCATGCTAGTTAGGACATGACTATGCTCCAGCAATTCATTTAATCAATGACTAGCTCCTGGAACGGCTGTGGCTACATGTGAAGCAGTGGGCAGAGTTTCTCGGAATGCCTGAAATTTAAAACGAGACAATTGGTCAGCTGCGGTATTGAAAACTCCAGGAACATGACAACAAACTAGATAAAAGTGATTACAGGCAGCTTACCAAGTCAGTCTGCTCATGAACATCATGATAGCCAGTGAGTCTGAACACCCTTTGTTAATGATATGGCAAGTAGCTTGGTTGTCGGAAAAGCATCGCACTGAGCAACCCGACCATAAATGGCCCCATGCCACTGCTGCAGCAACAGGATACACCTCGAATAAGGCAGAGTTGCGGGAGAACCCTTTAATATCCTGCACCTCCTCTGGCCAACTACCCCAGAGCCACTTGTCGCTAAATATGGCTGCACAACCGATGGTAGCTGCTGCATCTGTCCAGATGACTGAGAAGTGTACAGACAACTGAGGGAGAAACAGGTTATTCCCGTTACAATGTAACAGGAATGTGCACCATGTGAGAAGGTCAGTGGTAGCTTGTGGATTGAGGGAGATACGGCTAAAATCATTAGAAAATTCTGGAAGTAGGCTAAGGAGTCTAGCGATAAAGGCTCTACCCTGCGGGATGATTCTAATGGCAAAGTTCAGGGAGCCCAACAGAGATTTTAACTCCTTACGGTTACAGATACCAACATGGATGTATTGGTTGATGATTTGTAGGATATTACCAATTTTATCTAGCAGGAGACTGGCTTCCATGGCCACAGAATCAAGGCGAATACCCAGGAAACTCATAAAAGTGTCAGGTCCTTTGTTTTTTGGGGGAGAGACCAGTACACCTAAGGAATTAAATAACTCAATGGCTTTATTTAAGTTGCCTGGGGGGGAGGAATTGCTCTCAAACAGAAAATCGTCCAGATAGTGGATCACTGTATGGCACCTGCACGTATTCAACAGAAGCCAACACATGGTCTCAACGAACGTGTCGAACATTTTAGGGCTGCTTTTCGAACCAAATGTGAGTCTTGTGAAGAACTATTACAGACTGTTCCATTTAATACCATGCAGATGCTATAGAAATGGTTGAATGCGTAGTAACTTGAAAGCATTAACAATGTCTGTCTTACTGAGCCTGGCCCCCACCTCTACTGTAATAATAGCATCAATCGCGGAAAACTGCAGTGAAAACTCCTCCAAGAGAATTACGGAGTTGAGACTAGGGATCATGAGTGGGGTGCGGAGAGATCAATGATCAGTCTTTGTTTTGCTGAGGTGAATAATACCAGTATGAAAACCATGCGTGAAACACGTAATTAGAAAATTGACCAAGTGTTTGGAATGGTGGGTAGCTAAAGAGCTAGCCACAGAACCAACATTTACTGAGGTCGGATAAGGTTTGATATGCATTTTATTGGGGCACATGGACTTTGCATGTGCACTAAAGCAGTGAGAACAAACATGCAACAGGCAGCAGGCACTATATCCGCAGGTACCTTCATTGAAATTATTACACACCTGTGATTTTCCTAAATATACAATAGGACGACCAAGCTTATCCATTACCCGTTCTGTCAAACTTGGCGAACCTGGGAAAGCCATGGTAGGAGTGATATTATGTGCAATTGGACAATAGTCTGTGGCATGCATAGTGGATGCACAGATTGCACAAGCAGGTGTCCTCAGCCCAGCGGAGTGCCTGCAAAACAGCTCAATGTCCAGTTGGCTCCAATCTGTTTTGATGTTAAACTGTGCAAGAGTTGCAGACGCCTTCGCTGAAAAGGACCGGTGGTAATCATAAAATGACGTACCACCGTATTTATTAAGTAAGT